TATTTGTTATTTGTCATTTGAACTCCATATTTTTTTAATATACAAAATGTTACATAGAAATTTATTTAAATAAAAAAATTTAAACTCTCAAATTTAATACTCCATCAGTCTCAATACAATAGTCTTGTTTACTATTTTTGTCCGTTCCAAAACAATAGTTTTATTTTCATAAATTTCTATGTCACTATAAAATTACTTTTACTTTTTCATTATTATTACACAATTGTCACTACTTTTTACACTAATACACTTACAAGAGCAAAAAAGTCTTTTATCCATACCTTTTACCTACTATTAATATAATATCAATATTTCTTAAATTTTGTGTCAAATCCAATTAAACTATAGTCGTAGCACAGAGGGAAGGAGTAGTAAGAAACAACAGTGCGCATATCTTGAATATTTTCTGAAATATATATATATAATATTATATAAAAAAAATTAAATAAAAAATTCAAACTTAAAAAGCAGCACAGTGTGCGTATCTTGAGTTAGTCAACTACGGTATTCATAAGATAGATATGACTTAACTTTGAGTGGCTCACAATAAATTAAACCACTATTAATTAAAATATTATATTATTATTATTATTATTATTATTATTATTATAATACAAAATTAAAGTCAAACTTAACGCTTCCATGCATGCATACCATTTTAAAATTTTAATTCCATTTATTATTATTATTATTATTATTATTAGTTTATTGGTTAATGACCATGAACGCGTCTATTATTCCTTTATATATATGTTTGTTACATATTTTAATTTTAGATATTTTTTTATACGAGGCATGCCAAATTGTATTTATAATATGAAAAAAAAAAAAAAACAGTTATAAGTACTCCCTCTTTTCACTTACCATGTCTACATTGTTGTTTCTATCCGTCCCACATTTCATATCACTTTTTTTTTAAAATAATTATACACTTTAATCTCATTTTAAATTTTCTAATTTAATTTTAATCAGATAATTAGTTATTTTAATCTTAATATATAATTATTTATATTATAAAATAATTATTTTCACTAATACATTATTATTTATCTATATTATATTTATCTTAAATTCTGGTGTTTACGGTGACTCAAATATCCAACGTGGGACAGAGGGAATAATATACTATATTGAATATTGATTTTTATTAAGACTAAAATGTGTTTGTTTGTAAGATTTTACTTTTTATTTTAATATTTAAAAAATATAATTTTATATTAAAAATATTATATTCACTCCGCCTCTTATTTATTTATCAAATTGCTTTTTTTACGAAGTTTTATGAATATTTATATTATATTATGATATAGTAGAAATAGAAGTAAAAAATTAAATTAACTTTATTAATATTGTATGATATTTATGTAAATGAGTGAGATCCTATGCTGAAACATAATATTTAGCATTATGCTGATTCATTAATAACTATTGGATTATAAAAGTTAATCTAAAGGCTTATATTAGGTACATAGTACAATTATTAGAAAAAAATGAATACTTTACTATGAGACGGATTAAAATAAAAAATATGGATAAATTGTTAAGTGACGGAGAGAGTATCAAATAACTATTGAAATTTAAAATTTTAATATTTAAAGTTAAAATTTAAAATCAAGACAAATAAACACATTAGATATATATATATATATATATTATACACATATTTAGAATTGTAATACTAGTTAAAAAAATATTTTGGTGAATCATACTTCTTTCATTCACTCAAAGAGAGTGTTTGTTTGTTAGACTTTAGTATTGATTTGACTTTAAAAAAAAAAAAAAAAAACACCTAAAATACTAAATTAAATACTTCATCCGTCCCAATATAATAGTTTTATTTACTATTTTTGTCCAATCTCAAAAAAATAGTCTCATTTTCATAAATAACAATATCACTATAAAACAACGTTTATTTATTTTTATTATTATTATACAATTGCATTACTTTTTACACTAATACACTTATGGGAGCAAAAAAATCTTTTATCCTTATTTTCTATCTACTACCAATATAATATCAATATTTTTTAAATCTCATGTCAAACACAACTCAAACTATAATTTTGGAACGAAAAGAATATATATTTTTAATTTACTCTAATATAGAAGGTTTTGCGGATGAAATCGAGACCTTTTTTCCTTTATTAAAAATTTAAAAAGTAAATATACAACGATTTACACAATTACTTTTAGAGACAAATATAAAGAGTAAATCATAGTCTACATTAAAACTAAACCAATTTGTTTATTTATTTATTATTTTTAATTTATTTTGTATATTTATGTTTTTTATTATTCGATTTTTCATGTATGTATTTTTGGTGTTTTCTTATAGTTGAAATTTTGACAAAAAATAAAGAAACAAAAAATAATACTCTCTCCGTCCTAGCTACAGTGTCTCATTTACTGTAAATACGAAAAATTATTAGGGATATAATTAATAAATAATTAATAATGTATTTGTAAAATTATTATCTAATAAAAACAATATTTTATTAAGATTAAGATAACTAATTAATATAATTAAAATTAAAATTAAAAAATATATAAATTTAAAAAATTAAAATAAAATTAAAATATATAATTCTTTTTTTTAAAAAAAAATGACATACTAAGTGGACATACGAAAATTGAAAAATGAACACACTATTAGAATAAGAGGGTATTAAATAAATAAAATTAAACTCTAAATAAAAAAATTCAACATAAAAATCTCATTTTACATTTCATCTCACATTTTTTACTATTTTATATTTTTATAAAAAATAAATCAAATCAAAATATTATTTAAATAATTTTATTTAAGAGAAAAAAAAAAAAAAAAACCACTGATACCAACACTAGAAAATAGACCAACTAATTTTTCATGCACATAGACATACAATGAGATAGTTATTTTCTACTCTATCTGTCCCAAAATATAGTATTGTTGTGTTGGGTACGAGATTTAAAAAATATTAATATTATATTAGTGCTTGGTAAAAAGTAAAGATAAATGATTTTTTTGTTCTTGTGAGTATATTAGTGTAAAAAGTATTGTGTAATAATAATAAAAAATTATTAATAGTTTTATGGTGATATGCTTATTTATGTAAATGAGACTATTATTTTGAAACGGATAAAAATGATAAATAAGATTATTGTAATGGAATGGAGGGAGTATTATTTTTAATAAAAAGATTCATTCTAGATAAATAAATATATGCATGATTTTTTTTTATTAAATATTTAACCAATAATTCCCGCAAATAATATTGCAATTTATTAAAATACTTTTATTTTCATAAACTAATAATCAACCTTCCATTATTTCTAGAACATTGAAAAAACACAACCGATGTGAATCATGCGGTAGTTAAACTCATAGGTATGATCTTTAGACATTTAGTTAAATTTTTACCATTTAATTAATTATTTTTTTTCAAAATATCAAATCAAATATTTATTTTTTTATTTTTTATAGTATTTCAAAAAATAAATTCATTATAATATTACATCAAAATTTATTTATTTATAATAAATTCAAATCAATTATTCTTTTTTTTTTCCTCATCTAATTCTAAAACAAATGATCCCCTTTTTTAAAAAAATAAATTTATTTACATTAATCATATTTAATAAATATAAATTAATTAAACTAAAATTTTAACATTTTATATATAGAATTCATTCAAAATTTATTTATTTATATTTTTATAATAAACAAATATTTTTCTCTATATTTAAAATTCACTCATTTTTATAAAATTACTTTACGTTAAATTATAAATAAATTATTTATTTATTTATTTATATTATATACAATTTTATTATCTATATAGGAGTAAAATAATACTTCTCATATTATATACTCCTATATGTTATTGAAATATAATAATAAAAATATTTAAATATATATCTAAATTTCTTTTAATAATATATATTAATTATATTTTTTAAATATGAATAACATTATTATATAAAAAAATAATATAGAAAAATAATATTTAGTAATTATTAATATGTTTATCTTTTATTTAGCAATGAGAATTACACTTTTTATTTATTTTTTTTTATATTTATTTACAAGAATTATAATTCTTTATTTAGTACAATAACATATTTCACTATTCAGTACAAATATTTTTTTCAATAACATTTATTCACACAATATCATTTTATTAAAAATAAAGTCAAAGAATATATTTGTTATTTAATTTAAAATGCCACCAACTTTCATTAAAATATAACATTTCTTTATACAACTCTTATACACGGAAGAAGTACTATAATAGTGTTTGAAACAAATTTGGATTTGTTTGTTCAGAGTCTTTTTTAACACAATTTTCAATAAATATATATTCTCATATAACTTTTGTATCATTGTGTTTAATATTAAATACTTTTATATTTGTATAATTTTTTACATAAATGTCATTGTATTATTATTATAAGATACCAATAGAAGTATTTTTGTCATTTTTTCTTAATTTATATTACGTTTTTATATAATAATTAATATTTAAATATCAACACGCAAAAACATAAATGAGATCTTAGAGCCAAATGAAAGTAGTATATATTATCATTTCAAAAAATCAATATTCAATATAAAATATTACTTCATCCGTCTCATATCTATATATTAATTTGCTTTTTGCACGGAATTTTAAAAAAATTAGTATTATATTGAAATAAAGTAGAAATAAATGTAAAAAGATTAAATTAACCCTATTGGTATTGTATAATATAATATAAAAGTAATGACATTTGTGTAATATATTGTAAATTAGAAGAATATTTGTAATGTTAGGTACATACTACGGTTACTAAAAAACTGAAATGAATATTTTGTTATAGAACATATCAAAATAAAAAAATAAATAAATTATTAAAGGACGAATGAAATATATTTATATTATCGACGTAATTTTCTATACATCACGTGAAAACAAAAAATTCAAATAAAAACAATAAGCAAACAACAATAAATTATCTCCTATTAAAGTGAGAGAGTACATGTAATAGCTTAGAATCAAACATAGGCTTAGTGGTCTCTATAAATAGAGATAGATAGCAAGGGAGAGACTCATATGTCGAACTCCGACATAGTTAAATCAGCAGCGCACCAAGTTCAGACCAGACCAGACCAGACCAGATCGCAATTCCTGTCCGAAGATGGATTTCCGAGCTCTCAAACGCACGCCTCTCTCCTTCTTCCTTCTCATCATCTCTCTTTCACTGGTAATTAATAATCAATTCTAATTTTTATTTTTTTTTATCCGCACTCCTACATCCTCGATCGAATCTCAAATTCTCACATTCACATACACACACATATATATATATATATTTGCAGTTTGAGTGTATTGTTATTACAAGTGGTGTAAGAGACTTAGATCCGACGGCGAGAAGCTACTGGAAGAGCCGAATGAAGGAGGAGCCAATGCCCGACGCAATCGCAGATCTCATCCGTCCGATCAATCCACCGTCGCCTTCGCCTACACCGTCGGATTATTATCCGTTTGTTAGAGATTTTAAGACAAAACACACTTTCATTATTTACCACAGCCGCCCCGACAATCGGCCTCTCGGATCGAAACCCTAATTCATCTCAATTGGGGGCTGACTAGTTATGCATCCCTCTTATGTATGTATCTATCTATTATTACAGCTGGATAGGATCGTGCCCATTTTTTCCAACATTGTATTTTTTTTTTAGTTTAATATATTAAACTTTTTAGTAGGATAGTAGGCTTGCTTTTTTTTTTTTTTTTTTTTTTTTTTTTTTTTTTTTTATAAATAAAATAAAATAAAATCAATCAAAATTGATTCCGTTGAAACCAAAAAATATATTCCCTCCGTCCATAAATATAGTCTTAATTGGGTTGGATACGATATTTAAAAAATATTGATATTATATTGACAGTTGATAAAATATATGGATAAAAATATTTTTGCCATTGTGAGTGTATTAGAGTAAAAAATAGTGACAATTGTGTAATAAAAATGAAAAAGTAGAAGTAGTTTTATGGTGATATGGTTATTTATGAAAATAAGACTATTGTTTTAGGACAGTAAAAAATGATAAACAAGGCTATTGTATTGGGACGGATGAAGTATATATTAATTTTGGTTTTAATATAAAAAATTATTAATTTTAATTTAATTATAGCTAATTTTAATTTAATTCGATTTTATTATTAAAATGTTAATGTAAAATGTTTGACATGGACTATCCGACATGATATTTGATCTACCATTTCATCACCCCTCACTATAAAAAAATAAAAATAAAAAGAAATAATAATAATATATTTTTAACATAATTTCGTTTATAAAGTTTATATAATTAACATAATTTTATCCTTAATTCGTTTCTATTGACCTTAGTAACAAAAAAAAAAAAAATAAAATAAAATTTAAAGACGAAAAAATCTATTTTCCTATAGTGGCTAGAGTGTGGTTGTTTGTGAGTTTGAATTTTTGAATATTTAAAAAGTTAATTTAAATAATTATTTGATATGATATTTTGAATGTAAAATAAATTTATAATAATATAATATAAAAAAAAAAAAATTGTGATAAACAAATCTTTCTTGCTTTGTTCGTGTCATGCTTCCATTGATGTTTAAAGTATTTTGTGAAACTTGGTAATGCTTGTTAGTGTATTCAAGGGTTTGATTTGTCCTTTGGGATTAAAGTCGCTTTATAACTACTTTTTTATTAATTGAATATTAATTATTATATAAAATATAGTAAACATAGAGATAATGACAAAAATATATTTATTAGTCTCTTATAAATAATTACAATCATATTTTTGAAATAAACTATACAAATATAAAAATATTATTTTGATTTCATAACACTATTTCTCAGATTCCTCTATATCACTAATCAGACGATCGCATGTTCGAAGTCACTGAAAAACTAAAATTGAATTAATTTCTAAATTTATAAATAAAACATAGTTGTGCTGAATATATAATTGATTTTTTAAAATATAATACTTCCTCCTTCCCATGTATTATGTTCACATTGCCGTTTCTGTCCGTCCCACGTTCCATGTCACTTCTCTTTTTTGAAAAATGATTACACACTTTAATCTCATTTTAAACTTTTTAATTAATTTCTTTTAATTTTAATTAAACTAAATAGTTATATAATCTTAATTAATAATTATTTATATTATAAAATAATTATTTTCACTAATATATTCTTAATTATTTATTAATTACACATCTCCTAAAATACTGTATCTACAGTGTAGCATACACTCCTGTATCTACAATATAGCATACACGGTATATGGGATGGAGGGAGTATTAAAATACTATTTAAAGTCATATACCGTTAGATTTCAAATTAATTTAAACACACCACCAAAGAGTTTTGGGCTTACGATGCTCTACAATGAATACTAACGTGTTTGGGCTTCCGACCGTCGCTATAAAAACCCGAACCCGGTTCAGAAATCTTCTAGAAGCCCTCCATTCCCAGTTAAGGGTTTTGCGAATCAGTCCGTATCCTCGGCACGTTAGGGTTTTACAGGACTCCGACATTGCTGTGACTCCTTGATTCTTCGTCGTGCTTTTACCAGTTATCTTTGGCCTCAATTTCTCGTTCGAGAACGCACCAAGATGAGGGTGAAAAAGCAGAAACGTCATCGGAAAACGGTTCGATTTTACACGGCATGCTTTGGATTCCGGGAGCCGTTCAAGATCCTTTGCGACGGGACTTTCGTGCATCATCTTCTAGCGAATGGCATCGTCCCGGCTGATACTGCATTGGCCAATGCTCTTGGCGGTCGTGTCAAAGTCTTCGCTACTAGGTCCTCTGGTTTTCTGTGGTTTTGGTTTCGTTATGTAATTGGTGGTCGCTTCTGTTTCATAACTCTGTTGAATAAATTGATGGATTGGATGGAATTGCGATTTGTTTGATTGCAGATGCGCTGTTGCGGAGCTCAGCAGCCTTGGTGAATCTTACTCTGAGTCACTTGATGCTGCCCGTTCCCTCATAACTGCGAGGTTAGCTGTTCGTCACCAATCTCACCTTTTTCTTTCTTTTTTTGCCCCCGCTATGTGTGTTCTGTTATATCATTACTGAGCAACTATGGAACTTCTTTTAAAAAATAAAAAATAAAAAATAAATTATTTTTTAATGTTTTCTGAAGCATGTATTTGGTGTGAGCTATATGTCCCTAAAGAAGGGATTTGTTTGGTTCAATTTGTTATCTATCCAATGTTCGATAAATTAGGCTGGGAGGATTTAAGAATGTGATGCATTTATCAAACTTAATTTTAAAGTTTTTTTGAGTTTAGACTTTAGTGTTAGACTGTTAGTGCAACGATGGGAGTTTATTAGCAAGATTTGGAGGAAGAAATTAAATATAAAATAGAAATAATTTAAATGTATATATACGGCATGTATATGCTTGAGTGTGAAAATGTGGGTAGAAATCATAGTTGTCAATTTGAGATAGGGTTACATTGCTGTAAGGGGATAGTGGAATCAGTGCTGTTTAAAAATTAAAAAATATACATATCAAAATTATTATATTTACCAAATTATAATAAAAAACATAAGAATAATCTATCATTATTCTCATAATTATCATTCAAACCAATAGAATTGCAAAAAATATGTATTCCTAGTCATATATAGTTTAGATCACAACTACAGTGATAAGTAGATAATCAAAGCTAATCTGGTTCGAAATCTGATAAATAATTTAAGTCTCTACCCACCGCTAAAAGCCGGCTATTGCGTAAAAGTGGCATCACAGGGCAGTGGTAGCGGAAGACTGCCGCTCCGTTCCGCTATTAGCATGCTATTGACAGCTATGGTAGAAACTAAAAAGATTATGATGGATATATTCCTCTTTATCAATAAATTAGCGAAAGGAAGTCATATAAGTTTAAAGAATTTTTTAACGTTCCCAATGTTTTATTTTGCCTTCTACATGTATCCCTCAACAGTTACTTTATGCATATGCTTCATTTCAACCTTTTAAGTGGAGCTCGGTTTCATTTGCATTCACTGGTTGGTTTAAATTCAAATTCTTTCTTCATCTTTATTTTTCCCCATTATTTGGGCTATCACTTTACATGTAGAGAGGACACCTGTCTTGGGATATTTTATGTTATGCTGGTGAAATAATCTTTTTTCTAATTGTTAAAACATAATTCTGAAAGTAGTAACTTCTAACATACAGATAATGTTGTCAGCTCCCATTCTTGTACTTTTATGCAAAATGGGTGTTTTTCTATTATTGTGCTTGTGTGCTACAAGATAGAAGTTTGCTTCGAAAGTCATTAAATATTTGATAAATTTTCTTTCTGCTCATCAAATTTCAATAATTCATTTAATGTATGTGCTACGCGTGCTGTGCAATTTTTATTAATTTTTCCTTTATTTTTCTTGATATGTCTTGAACCTCTTATTTAGATGTGAACATGAGAAGCGGAAGAGTGCCATAGCATGCATAATGGATGTTATTGGAGAAAAGAATCCCGAGCACTTCTTTGTTGCGACGCAAGATGCTGAGCTGAGGAAGAAGTTCCAAAAGGTATGTGACTATGTGTATATAAGTCTTTTTCCTAATACATATTTATTCGAGGGATAGTTTTTACTGTTTGTATATTTTGTTGAAACTTATTTTCATTCGACTGAGATCACTATGGTGGGATAGTTACTTTGGTTATTAACTAAATGAGTGGGGCAGATTCCAGGTGTGCCGGTAATATATGGTCTCAGGAATGCTCTCTTTCTAGAACGCCCGTCAACATTTCAGCATGACTTTGTGAAGACTGCTGAAGAAGAACGGTTACACATGACTGACTTGGAGTACAAGATGCTGAAAATAAAGAAGAAAAGGGTTGTTTCGGGTGAAGTAAGGGAGTCTTCGGATGCTAATGAAGATAATGGAGATCAAATGTTGGAGGTGCAGAATCTTAGTAAATATGTTAAACGAGACAGAAAAAATGCAAAGGATAGAGTTCAGTTCAAGCTAAAGAAAGCTAAGGTTCGTTGCTGACACTCTCTTTTTCTACCCTTCTAGCATCTGCTCATGGAACTTCATGAAACTTTTATTCTTGTTGTTTTTGAGGGGTACTTCATATATAGAGTTGTTAAACAAGCCGAGCGAGCTCGACTCGAACATGCTATTAGTAAAGGCCTAAATTGTGGCTCGACCTCCGCTCGCAGAGCTTGAACTTGAGTTTGACTTGAATTTTATGCATATTATATATGTTTTAATATATAAATTGAATAAATAAAATTTTATTCATAATTTATTATAATAAAATATTCAAAATTTACTAATAAATGTAAACTTTGACACATTTTTTTATTAATATATAAAATAATATAATATCGAGTTGCTTCGAGCCGAGTTGAGCTTGGCATGCGCTACTAGGTTCATTTAACAGCTCTATTCATATGTATTTAATTGTCATTTGACAGATAGGTAGGTGAGTTTAACATTTCACCATGTTAAGGGTTGAGGGTGGGTAGGTAGATCCAAGTCCAAGTTGAGAACAATATTCTGGTTTATATCTTGGCTATTTAAGTTTGTTTTGGAGTTTAAAGATGACGAAAAATGGGTGTGAGTGCTATGGGTATATCTTTTCGAAGAAACCAATAGTTTATGCCTTATTTTAAATTTTGCAGGGTCCGAATCCCCTCTCATGCAAGAAGAAAAAAAGCGACGGGGCTACAACCCTTGCATCTGGAAAGGTTGGTTGATGTTATTATTAAATTTGTCTGCGGCCGTCAGTTTCCATGGTTCATTTAAAACTAAAATTATATCTGAAATGATTAGCATGCGGCATTTATGTTATTAGTGAGAGCATATTATGATTGCTTGCATGATCTGATTGATGTTACTCTAGTAGGAACGACGAGTGTCCTATGAGGTTTGGATTTGTGAATAGTAAAAATTTGAATTGAAATAGCCTTTGATGTAATGATATGATATAAATAGGTATTTGATGCAATTGTTCATTATTTTGTGTAATACTCTCTCCGTCGTTAAAAATAGATTCATTTCTCTTATTGGTTGGTCAAAAAAATAGACATGTTTCTTTCTTAGTAAAAAATCATATTACATGAGGAGTATATTAAATAAAAATAAATATTTGATTTGATTGCTTTAGTGCAATTCTTTTTTTTTTTTTTTTTTTTATATAGTGCAAGATCAAAACGAGACTGTAGTGTGTGCTATTCTAGGTGAGTAATGACTCGACTGTGTTTAAGAAGCAATTTTTGCTGCAGGGAAATAATGTCGACAGCAGCAGCAGGAGTAGGAAACGAAAGAGATCAAGGAAAAACAAAGGCGTATCTCAGCCTAGTTCTTAGTCCGGTTTCGAGAGTCTCTACTTTCAATCATGCTGCTTATTGAGTACAATTTTGCAAAGGTATAGAGTGCTAACACACCTTTATTTATATCTTTTATGTCGTAGAATACGTCAGCTGTTGTCAATTGTGCGCCATTTTATCGAGCCGAGCTGCTCTAATATGCCGGAATCTGCTCAATAGCGGCTATAGAGCTGGTTAGAGTTGGCCAAAGCTCCAGGCTGTTCTTACATGTAAGATTTTGTATTTACATTATATTTTAGTGCTAATCAATTCACGATAATTTAGTTTATTATGTAAGATAGTTGTGGTTATTTGGTTTTGATTTGGATTTTGGTTTAAGTAATACTTTAATATGATATTTTGTTAAAATAATAATAATAATAAGTATATATATTTTTATTGATTATAGTTGATTTGAAATAGGAAACATGATAGTATAATAATTATTATTAGAAAGAAAAGGGATTTGTACAAAGCCTAAGAACATATAATGGAATTAATGAAGGAAAGATAAGAGGGAAATGTTTATTCAAGATTAAAGGTGCTGGATCACCTCAAAGTGATGTTTGTTTTATGTTGATATTTATATTGGTTTGTATAGATTTTTCTTATTTATATATGTATATATGCAAAACTACAAGAAAAAAGAATGTATATAATTTCCATTGTGATTTTAAATTTTTTTTGAAAGTATAATATTTTATACAAAAATTAAAACATTTAAAGTGTCAGTTACAGGAAGTAAAAAAAATTAAATACTCTTTGTTCCGCTTTATTAAGATGATTGATTAGTAAAAAATTATAAATTAAACTTTTTAAAATAAGGTTAAAATGTATAATTGTTTTTAACAGAAAGAAAGTGACAAAATAACTGAGGTGGAGATGGAAAAGTGGGACAAAGTGAATATTTGATTTTAAAAGGTATAATATTTTATTAAAAAATTAAAATATTTTAAAGTGTCAGTTAGAGAAAGTAAAAAAAAATAAAATATTTATTTTTTATCTTTTATATTTTTGACATAATTTTTTATTATATACATTATTTCATCCAAGAAAATGCTAAAGGAGCCATACTCTTATAAAAATAGTAGTAATATTTTATTGTCATTTAAAAGTATTTTTTTTTCTTTTATTTTGTAAGTTTATCTATTTTTTATTATTTTTTTATAAAAACAAAAATCATCAATTAATATTTATGTATATTAAAAATACCTATATAAATATAATAATTTATAGGTATTTTTCAAAAAAAATTTATGGTTGTACTGTATGATATTGACAATGGTATATAGGATTGGTTTCTTCTAATTAATAAATACAGTTGCATTCTTTTTCTTATTTATTTATTTATTTATTTATTACTTCTAATGCCTGAATGAATTTCTTGCTAATTGAAAAAAGAACAAATAAAAAAATACAATAGCTTGTTTGTTTTTAATTTTTATTATTCTTAATAAACATGAGTTTCAATAACATAAATTATTTTAATAATAAATTCAAAATTCAAAATAATTAACAATAAAAACCTAAAAAAATACTAACTCCGTCGTCTACATTTTTTTTTAAAAAAAAAAAATAGTAGAAAACAAAATTTATATTTAAAATAAAAATAAAAATAAAAATATCTTTTTATTAAAATAGGAAACAATAATATATAAATATATTTTTTTGATAACAATCAAAAACAAAAATCAAATAAAAATTGGAATGACATAGAGAGTTTAAATACTAAAAAAATCAGCAATTCGTCTTTGTACTTCCTTTTCTTCTTCTTTTCTCTTAGTAGAGGTTTTGATGGTTTTCGAAACACCAACACCTACCTGTCTTTCTTTGTTAATCTCTTTGGGCGTTTTTCGAATCATAGTAAAAATTGATTTGTTTTGCTTTTCAATTCTTGAATGTTCAGCAAACTTCAGAGTTGATTGAATTAACTTTCTTTTATCACGTGCTTTCGAACTTGAATGCATTGAAAAGTGAGATGATGAATTTTTATCATTCACCAATTGTTTTTTATCAGGCTCTTTGTTGTTTTGATTATCCTGAAAATACTCAAATTCAATACTTTGTGATGCTTTAACTTGATCTTTTGACAAATTTTGAATACTTTTATTAACGGCCATGAAACTAAAGCGGATACATATATAAATCCATGAATAGTGAAATACAACTAGGGTGTGTTTGTTTGGGAGTTTGGATTTTGAGTTGGGATTTGAATAGTAAAAATTTTGAATTTGAATAGTTGTATGATGTGATATAAATAGGTGTTGATGTGATGTTTTGAATGTAAAATTAATTTTTAGTATAATATAAAAAGTGAAAAATAGGTATTTGATTTGATGTTTTTGGGGAAAAAAAATTGGATGAATAGTAGAATTTTGTTGAAATTCTACAAACGAACACACCCCTAGTTTTTTCACTTGTACAAACCACTATATATTTTTTCAATAAAAATACAATATATTTTTCAATAAAAAAAAATTAAAAAGTTATTTTTATAAAATATTAAGAAACAACATTTTTTTTAAATAAATATTTTAATAACGCGCCTTCAAAATTTTCAATAACTGACAACAAAAATTTATTAAATTCTTAAAAACTCTAAATATTTTTTGAATTTAGAAAAATTGAAAACATTAAAAAAATACATTTTTGTGTGGTGTTTTATAAAAAATAAATATCAAGGTACCATTTTGTTTGATTTTAATTTGAGTTTCAAATCATCATTATTTACACTATTCTTAATATAAAAATAATACTTCCCCCTCCCAAAATAGTTGTCTTGTTTTTTATTTTCGTCCGTCCCAAAATAATTGTCTTGTTTCCTTATTTAGTAACTGTGGTCTTTGTAACAAAATTATTCCTACTTTTTCAAATTACCTATAATTATTACTCTAACCTACATTTTAAAATCTTAAAAAAAGCAATGACATTGTAGTCTTTTATATTATACTTTATACCCACTTTTAATTAAATATTATTATTTTTTAATTCCTATGTCAACTCCCAACAAAACGTCGACGGAGGGAATATTATTTTTTCTAAAAAATATTAGTATATAAAAATACTAGTATTATTTAAACAAAAAATTTAAATTTATATTCAATTTTAAACCATAATCAAATTTTTAATAAAATATAGTTTTTAATTTATTAAAAAAAATAAATGTGTACTTTAGATAGAGACGGAAGAAAATATATTTTAAGCATTCATAAAAAATAACAATAATATTATTTTTTTTTTAAAACTACGATACAATTTTCATACTAGTGTAAAAAACATATTAGTTTATCTCTGCCTAACATAATTCATTGTTAATCAACAAGATTACAACATTCGAAAATATAAAACTATGTTTACATAGAGTTTTTGAAATTTCTATAATTATAACTGTTTATCTACAATAATTTTTTTAGAAATTAAAAAAATAACATAGAACATTAATGTGATTTCAGAATTTACTGAAAATTCTCACTAATTTTAAATTTTAATATTACTTATTCGTAATTTTTAATATATTGCATGAAAAACACTATCCGTGATTTCATATTATCTGCTTGTAATTGCATGAAAATACTATTTGTAATTTCATATTACCTACTAATGATTTACAAAATATTGCATGAAAAACACTATCAATTAGTATTCAGTGACGATTACAATTCATGTATCCAAAGTCCGACCGTAGATAAAGAAGAGCAAGTCCGTTAATACTTCGCGTGTTGAAGTGAGCACAATCGAATAGTACTACAAACTTTACTTTATGATTATTGTGCTACAGTGTCTAAGTATAATCCCTAGAGCAATTGTCTTTAGATGCAGAGAATTATAATAGCTTTTTAAGTAATATGAAATTTAAGATCCATAAGAATTTTCATCAAATTCCGAAAACACATAGAATTTTATACTTCATCCGTCTCACTTCTCATGTCCATCTAAAATAATTATACATTTTAATTTTATTTTTAAAAATTTAATTTTTAATTTTTTAAAATTTTTTTAATTTTAATTATACTAATCAATTATTTTAATCATAATCTATAATTATTTTTATTATACGATAATTATTTAATATATTTTTAATTATTTACTAATTATATCCTTCCTAAATTCTGTGTCTACACTAACGTGGTCAAATTATCCGGGACGGAGAGAGTACTATTTTGCTTTAAAAATTCATGTTAACTTATTACTCCCTCCGTCCAAAACACCCAGCAATATTTCCTTTTTGATATGTCCCAAACACCCAGCAATATTTTCAAAATAGGAAATAATTAATTATATATTTCTCTCCATCACATCACCTAATTTCTAAATTATCCTACTTAATACTACTAAAAATCTATGCCAAAAATAAATGTTGCATTTTATGCCAAAATTAAATGTTGGCATCTTATTTGAGATGGGTGAGTTCTATTCTAAATCAGAACTCCAAAATAAAATTCAAATAAAAGGTACGTTGTTTCCAACATTCAAATACAAATAAAAAAACATACATACAAGGTCACTCACAAACCTTACCTATCAGACGGCCGGCGACGGCGGAGAGAACAGGGGAAGAAAAAACGCTACGCAGCAGCGGACGGCGACGGCGGACGGTCAGAGAGAACAGAGGAAGAAAAATACGCCGCAGAGGACAGGGGGCTAGGGTTATGCTTTTACAGGAGGATTTAAATAACAAGCGGCCGGGTCGGGTCAAAAATCGGGTCAAATAGCCGAACTCTCGCCGTTTGGCGTCGCCAGGACGCCGTGCACCGCCGGAACGCCAAGGCGGCGCCGTCGACCATGTTCTGGACGCTTGATTCTCTGTGATGATTTAGGTCACTGCAGTCTGCAGGTAATTTATTTAGAGTAGAGCAATCATGTTTTCACATTAAGTTAAAGCATTAGCTAGCCGTCACAATAACTTCTGCAGAAAATCTGATTATCGAGCATCGACGAACTTAGATAGGAATCTGAAAAAGGATTGCGAAATGTGAACCACCGGAATATTGTTGTCTCTGATGATTATTGAATTCTAGGAACGCTGAATCTCGTGTAGTTTGTCTCACTTCCATTAAACAAAAAGTCTCCATTACATCAATCTGTGCTTTTCAGTTTATCGCAGGAAAGATCAGAATAATTTAGAAGAATCAGTTTGTTATTAAACTGCAGTTGAAATGGCTGCTCCATAGCTCCATTAGATCAATGTCTAGCTACTTTTCTTCCTTGGCATGGCTATTCATGCAATCAAATTTATGATTTGGTGTTTATTAGGGTAAGATTTTTGCAGTATTCATCACCAAAGTTCTCTTGTTCAACTATGTCAATTTGTGCAAACATCTAATTTATACGAAATTCATCGATAATGAAAGTATATGATCACATAACATGGCTAGAACACAACAATACTAGAGAATCAGAATTAACACCATTTCTGAACTCAAATTATTTCAGAACCTCTCTTACCTGCAGCTAAGTTTGTAGTAGAAGCTCAAGCAACCATAACAAAATGATCTTCTGGAAAGAAATGGCACACCGGCGACGACCCCGGTTCGATCCCGAGCACCTCGAAGGCGACATGCTTATGGCTCCATTGCGACGTGTCCATGTGGCAGACAGCAACCGCCTCCACCTTATCGCCATTCTCTCCAGTAAGTGAAACCTTAAACACCTTGCTCGGACTCTTTTGGTAATGACAATACAGAACGCCGTAAGGATAAGGCATGGTATGGCACGCCATCATTTTACCTGCCGTAATTTCATCGATTCCATTTACCGTATATTTCTGCAGGAGCGTATTCGATCTTGTCAAATGAATCGTCGACAGAATCTTCAACTCCAAATCTCTCCCCAAATTCGTCCTCGCGAAATCGAGCATGGATTCCCAAGATGTCGCGCATAGTTTTGTCTCCCCCTTGATGGCTCTCGTCTCGCATTGTCTTAACGTGTCTTCCATGGCTACCGCCTGAGGAGAGCCCTGTCTGAACGAGAACAGGCGAAGCAGATAATCGAGATCCCGGGATGAGAATGGAATCGAATCGGCTTCCTCCCTCGGAAGCATTCGAGAGGTATTTGATCCCCGTTTCGGAAAATGTATCGGTAATGTGTTCCCCTGTTTCAGATCCTCCAAGAAGAAGAACACAATCACTGAAGGATCCATGTGGTGATGCACGTGCGGCAATGACGACGATCGAACTTGTTCGATACGGAGATCGACGTGAGGATTACGGCTGTCGATCGATCCCGGGCTGCTCAAAATCGCGACGCTCGATCCGCTCGCGCCGCGACCTACCTGCTTAAAATTCCAGGTAACACTGTTACATTCAGTTCTTTATTTATTTATTTTTTTGCAATGAAAAATTTATCATCTTTTGATTGCATAATGTGTTGGAAATGATCATAAGGAAAATATTACCAGTAGAATTAGGAGATGAAATAGGAATAGCTTTGCTTCCGCCATTGAAATGAGCTGAGCTGAGGAAAGGTTTCCAGGGGAAAACTGGTTGAGATTCTAACACTACACATTTTATTAAATGATTAGAGAAAACCTTATCGTAAGGATGGTACGTAAGAGGTAATCATTTTTTTTTACTCTTAATGTGAATTGGATCTGTTTGGTTGTATATATATATATTTTAAAAATAGTAATTCGATATAATATTTTATTAGAATAAATAATACTCCATCCATCCCAATTTGAGGTCTTTTTGAATTTATAATATTTTATTGGTTAATAGAAATGTGTAACAGTTTTTTATATTTTTGTGTTTGTAATTTAAATAAACATTAAGAGTCTTCTGATACTGATCTATAATTACTTTGAAATAGATAAAAATGATAAAAAATAATACTTTGAATTGGGATTGATGGTATAACTTTATTGGAAACTTTAATAGTAAAAAAGTGTGTTTGAAATCAAAACCAAACATGGAATATAATTTTATATAATACATTTAAATAAAAAAATATATTTATTTATTTATGATTAATTTAAATTAATTTTATAAAAAAAAAATAAGATTTTCTAGACGTGAATAAAATATTTATTTATTAAAGAGAGAAATTTTTTTTTTTTTAAGTAAGTCATGTAGGAGAGTAGAAATTCGATTTATATTTGTTAAAAAGTATATTAGATTAAATAATTAAAAAATAGTTAAATTTAATTATATTTGGATGAATAATGTTAAAATTTTAAAAAGTATATATTAAATAATTAAAACATAGCTAAATTTGTGGTTGTTAAGTATGTCCCCACAGATAAATTTCATATCATGGAAACATTATACAATACGGTGGGTTTATCAATAATATCATCACTTTTGGACATATGTTGGTCTCTCGTACTATTATTTTAGATTTTTTGTATTCAATTATGACAATTTTTGTCTGATTTCACGTGGAACACGTAGCTGTTGCTGTGAATTGTGTGTGTGTGTGTGTGTGTGCCTGAAGATATATTATTAGTCGTTTATCAATTGGATATGATTTTTTAAAATTGAAGTGTGTGGACCCATATACAGACAGACTTGATAATTAATTGATCACGGCCATGTTACTATATTTCTTATAATAAATATCATATATTCTTGGGTGTAAATGCACTTTTTAAATACCAAAAATTATGGTAGAGGGTTGGGTTTTGATTTAAATAATAATTTAATAAGTATAATAAATTATCTATTTTGTTATTTTAGTTTGTTTCATAGTAAAGTATTTATTTTTTTTAATACATGTACTATCTACCTAATATTACAAATACTCTTATAATTTACAATATATTATACAAATGTCATTACCTTTATATTACACCATACTAACAAAGTTATTTTAGTTATGTCCACTTTGTTCCTACTATATTCTAATATAATATTAGTATTTTTTTAAAAGAGTAAAATGAAAATGTTGTATTGATAAAGATATATTTCTTCCATCTATGCAGGGCGTCTCGGACCTTTTTGGGATCGTGAACAAAAATAAATTATAGGCCCAATAAACACATGATTAAAATATATTTTTAAAATAATACCACTTATTGGCATCAATTGGATAAGAAATTTTAACGTGTGACGGTATGTGCGTAATAGATTTGAGAAAAGTTTTTTAAGAAATATTAGTATATACTATTGTAATCATAGATAGTGTGTAAGAATTTTATCACCTAAAATGTATTTGAAAGTTCAATAAAAATTAGAGGTGACAATGAGTCGATTCGTGTTGGGTTCGTATGGGGTTGAATACTTTAAATAAGTTAAATTACTCAACCATAATTCGATCCGTTTATTATCGTGTCGGGTTCATATTGATCCGTTTATTATTGTGTAGGGTTCGGGTTGACTCGTGTTGACCCGTATATATAATTAAGTCTAATTTCTTGATTTAAATTAAATAATTTTTTTTTATGTTATCGTGTTATGTTAGTTTTTATTGGTTTGAGCGTAAATTATATTAAATTATTTGAAATTGAACTTAGTTTAAACTAATTTATGAGAAAATTATTAAATTATGATTATTTTACATATATATATAATAAATATATTAATAAATATTAATATATTATAATTGGATTGTCGTGTCGAATTCGAGTTGAGAGCCTCAACCCTAACTCGATTTGTTTACTATTGTGTCGGGTTCGTGTCAACTTGTATACATAATCGAGTTGAAATCTTTGACTCAAACCCAATTATTTCTTGTCGGATTGTCTTATCGGATCAGTTTTTGCGGGCTCTAATTAAAATAAATTGTAAATTAAGGTAGTTGTGTGTAATTTTTTGATTTATTGCGCGACAAGTGGGAGAGATTATGATGGTTGATTTGCCTAAATTAATACAAGAAAAATATGTGGATAGTATGTAGTTTTAATTAATACAGCATATATATATATATATATTCTTCTTCTTTTTTTTTTTTTTTTTTTTCCGAATTGAAAAGGATTATTTCAAGTTTTATAATAAATTTAAAAATAATACAGCAATATTTTATTAGTTAGTAAAAATATGCTAAATATTTTAACATTTTTTTCTTTAATTTTATGTTTAAATAAATTACATGCGTAAGATCATCTCTAACTATATCCTCTATTTTTTCTTCTTATAAAATATAATTTCAAATGCCTAACTTTTTTATTCTATTTTTTTATTATTATTATTATTTTTTATTTTTTAATCTAAACGGTTATGTTTACATAACATATTTTAAAAGTTTTGATACTATTTATCATTTTTTTGCAAAAAAATATAACATCATATACTCTCCATGATCTATCTATTTTATTTTATCATTTTGATACTACTTATCAATTATTTTTTTCAAAAAAATATCACATCAAATGCTATCTCCATGAATCTTATCTATTTTTATCATTTTGATTTGTAGATCCCACAAATATCTTTTTTAGAAAATAAAAAATAAAAAATAACATCTTATGTATTAAATAATTACAAAATATCTCTAAGGATAAATTTGTACATGTATATCTATATTGTATTATATACCAATAAAATATTAAGATTACAAAATGTATGTTAAAAATTACATTGGTACATTCATACCGGATATAAAGAGTATGTTTTTTCTATATATATAAAATTCTCGAATTTTTATTATTTTCAATTTTTTTAAAATAAAAATTCAAAATTTTATATATCAAAGCCTAAATTATTGAATCGCGTTACTAAGCAGCATCAAATTTGGATCAGATATGGATCCACATTATTATTATTATTATTATTTTTATTATTATTATTATTATTATTATTATTATTATATACTCTCTTGCCTTGTCTACTCGTGACATAATGTACAGTATAGCTTCATTATTTGATAGAGAAAGACCTCCTACTTGTTACTGTATTTCTTTATTTATTTTATTTGTTTTTCACTCCAATACAACGTCAATTTCGACGCTGCAAACTCATTTATGCCGCTAACGGTCTTCAATCGGACGTTAATTGCAACACCATTTTTTGTGTTTGTTTTACACTGTAGCAAACGTCATTTATAGTGTGTTTGTTTTATTTTTATTTTTATTTTTATAAAAAATTGTTTAAAATATTAGGAAAAATTGAATATTTGAAGAATAATAGTGAAAAATAGAATTATAATTAGAGTAAAATTGTTGTAACAACTGCATATTTGAAGATAAAACCTCAATTAAACTTATTGCAATCTAAATATTTTTACATTCAATAATGCAGCTTATTGCAAAAATTTTAAATCTACGTTACTTGATTTTCGAAAGAAAAGAAAACTCAAAACATTTCGATAGATGATTGATTTAGACTATATAAAATATTATATTGAATTGTTTGGTTGTGTATTTTTTTTTATTCTGTTTTCACTATTATCTATATTAATTTAATTTTCTCTCATATCATAACATTATAGACAAGATTGTTTATAATTCTCTTGTGGTTTCGAAACTCAGTATAAATTCTCCTTTACTTTAAAAATTGTATGGTCCCCTTATACTTTAAAAAGTTTTACATGAAACCCCACAGTGGTTTTAAAATTTAGCGTAAATCCTCGTTTTACTTTAAAAAATTGCATGACACTCTTCTTATATTTAAAAATAAATATTGCATGAAACCCCATTATTCAAAACATACATATAGAAAATCATCTTCTCATCGTACAAGGGAATTTTTATGGTGGTAGGGTTTCATGCAATATTTTCGAAAGTATAAAGGGGTGTCATGTAATTTTTAAAGTACAAATAGATTTTACGCTGGATTTCGAAATTACAAGAGTTACGAACAATTTTACCTAATATTATATCATACATTTAATTTTTATTTAATAGGAGTACATTATATATTTATATATATATATATAAATTCTACTCAAAACATCACATTATATATTTATATATAAGAATGAATTCAATGGTGCTAAATTTGATCCGGACGGCTAATTATTTAGATTATTTATTTAATTAATACAATTAGATTTAAATTAATAATATAGATTAATTTCAGCTTATGCTGAATTATTTATTATATTAGCACTGCAAACTCTCATTATTATTAATTTTATTTTACCATATTGTAAAACACATCAAAATATTGCACCCAATACCTATTTATATAACTTCATATACTTATTTTTTATTTAACTTTTTACTATCATCAAAACCCTCCAAAACTTCCGTAACTCTTATCTAACTAGAGCCTTAGGAAGTGTTTGGTCCGTGTTTATGTTTTGATGAAATATTTTGTAAAAGATAAATATATTTTAATTGGATAAATGAATTATAAAACTTCTAATATAATAGTTTGATCTAATAATTTGTGAAAAAATAATGTATTTTTATTAATGTTATAAACCAAAAAAAATTCAAAAAGAACATAATCTAATGATCATATGTAAGAATGTATTAACTAAAATACCCTTTAGATATAATATGAAATAAGATTGTGACATATTTAAAATTTTAGGTGAAAAATAATATTAATTGTGAGGTTTTAGTTTTGGGTTTTGATTTTGAATAGTAAAATTTTGAATTGAAATAGTTGTTTGATGTGATATAAATATGTGTTTTGAATGTAAAATTAAATTTTAGTGTAATAAAATAAATAAAAATTGAATGTTTAATTTGATATTTTTTGAGAGAAAAAAAATTGAAATAGTAAAATCATATTTTACCTAACAAGTAAACACACTATATTTTTTAATAATTTATGTAGGGACTACAACTATTAAACTATGAGATATATTTTTTTTTATTATAGACAATCTAAAATAATAAAAATGAATACATTGATTATAGTCAAGCTTTAGAAAAATAAAACTACATTTTAGTACGATTGAAAATAAAATCCTTGAAATTCTTTCATCTATAAATAGCTACTCAGTTTGCAAATAACTAATTTCATAATAATAATATTACTAAAGAACTTTATTAGGAAGCCATGAAATCCCTTTTCATTTTATCATGCCTTGTCTCATCTCTTCATCTGATTTTGGTATGAATCTATGTTTTGTTCGAGTTGTTATTATTATTAGATAAAATTGTTTATAGTTTATCTGTGATTTCGAAAGTATTTATTATTTCTCTTTTAATGTATAAAAATTGTGAAATCTTTCTTCATATTTTTCAAAAATATTACATAAAATATCAAAATTGTCTAAATTTAACATTTTGAGAGAGGTTTTTACTATTTAAGCACTGTTGTTTGGGAAATTTTATTTTATTATTTTCTTAACAGTATTTTTTAAAAATATGTTAAAAGAATGCGTAATTTCTAGATTATGACGGGATCATGATGCAAAGTTTTCAAATCATATGAAGATTACGAGCAATTACGCCTTATTAGTACATCTATCTTATGTTTCGATGTAGCTTTTGAAGCCGATGGATGCAAGAAAAGGCCCCGGTGGTGATGACAAATCTTGGCCGAGTGATGAATCGAAGACAAGGGCAACCATTTGGGATCCAAGATCAAGAGTTTGGACCAAAAGTAATTTAGAGCAATTATAATTGGCGAGAGATGATGATGATGGACAAGTATGGGTTTATGTTGATGAGAAGAAGAAGAGAAGTAACATATGGTTTTACAATGATGATCATTGATGAATGGATCAATTATGGAATCAAGATCACCAATATAATATATTATGTACTTTTTTCGTCTGCTATCAATGTATTTCTTTACTATTTTTTACTATCTACTATCAATATATATAAAGTTGAAGGTATTTGAATTTAATAAATGTAGTTCCAGTATAAATAATATATACATATATATGTGTATTCTGATTTAATAAGTATGATTTCTATAAATAAAATAAAACATAATAAAATTACTATTGGAGTTAGATACGGCCATGTAAAACAAAATACACCAATGTTATTACAGTTAGCAACAATCGAGACCTATTAATTTATGCTATCTCTGGAGTATGTTTGAGCGTGAGCCTATCAATATGTGTTTTGTGCTTGCTCGATTTATTATACATCAGGTTGAAGACGACTGTCAAGGAAAAATGACTTTTAGTTCCGTATGTTACTTAACTAGAAAAGCGCCTTGGAATTTCTTACGAGGAGATTGAAGATCCAATATATGTCATGATGCCTTGTGGTTTCTGATGCAGCAGATGACGGTTATGATTATGAATGTGACGACAACAAAAGTATATATATATTCCCAGTGATCAGGGGGCGCCGAAATGTGATTAGCTTGGTCGTATGGTTCAGGATATGCCGATTGACAAGTCCGTCATTAATAATTTACGTATAGATGTGTATCGCCCTATAGACGATATGTAGATGAAAATGTATCGCCAGATGGACGATAATGAAATTTTCATTTTGTGTATTTTTCAACATCTTTTTATTACTATTACACCAAACAATAGCGCTCCACATGCACCTACACCGACCCATGGCGACATCACATGGTGACATCAATATTGATGCCTTGTTTGCAGATCATTCAAGCCGGAATAAGGATTAGAGCTTTGTGTTTTTTCTTGTATTTTGTTTTTAAGTAAGTAAATGATTTTTTATTTTAAGTATGTAATGTTTTTTAATTTAATTTAATGTTTGTTATATTATTTTTATTGACTTAAATTCAAACTTTTTAAGTTGGTATAGTTTAATTTTTTTAATATATCAATTTTTTTAAATTCAATATATAATTTTTTATAAAAAAAATTTCAAGAAAACAACCGTTCAAAACAAAAAGAAACATAATTGTGTACTTAAAAACACACGATTAAACATGAGGGAGACTATTGAATTAAACGACCTTGTACAAGTATGACACGATTGTGTTTGATTGCAAAAATGTTGTAGTTAAGTTCAGATTTACACGACCTTGTACGTATACCATTCCGGTATATGATTGTAATACACGACCGTGTTTAACACAGTTGTGTACAATTTAACATGACTGTTGTTAATTGACTTGGTTGTTGTTGACTATGATAATATATACAAGTGTTTTATTGTACATGGCCGTGTGTAATTCAGATTATCCACTACGTCGACTCTTTTATATTTATGTCAGCAATTTTTATTGATTTTTCAACGATAAAATTAAAATTAATTAAAATTATTTATAATGATACCAAAATTAATATTTATTATTATTATTTTTTATTGAAATCAAAATTGATGCATTTTTATCGTGACCAAAATTAAGAGGTAGCCATACAACATTACATCATTTTTCCGGACCGAAGGTGAAGGAATACTATATTTTGAGAGGAAGCCATACAACATTTTGTTCCATTGCTAAATGCGACTTTTTGGACTCCACTTGCAAAAGCGTGTATATATATCATCTCAGCGATTTTTGCTCGTATGTATATCTCTCTCCTATCTCCAATCTCCACCGTTGATATATTGCACGTTTTTAATCAACGGCACAGAGAAATAGATTTATAATTGTGCCCTATATTACGGTGGGGCGGCACCACAGGCGATAACTCTCTCCATATAGCCAGCTACTTCACTCGGCGGATGAATGCATTTCGCTGAGGCAGACTGAGGAAGAAGAAATCGCGCAGCACTATGGAAGAGAAGAGGCGAGATTCAATCGGAACCCCTCCGCCGCCGTCGGCCGGGGCGGATGGGGCGACGCCGGAGCAGCCTACGACTCGGCGGAGCCGCGGGGGGCAGAAGAGGAAATCGACCTCTATCAACAGCGTTGGCAGCGGATCGAACCCTCAAACGACGTCGTCCAAGAGGCAGGCTCGGGAGAAGCCGCCGCCGGTGCCTTTTCCTTCGATCCACATGAATGGACCTTGCACTAGGGCGCGCGTGCAGCCGTACAACTGGAATAGCTTCTCGGAGGTGGTTGCGGTGAAGAGCGAGGCGGAGGTGCGGGAGGCGGCGGCGAAGGCGGAGGAGATGATTAGAGCGAACGAGAATTGGCAAGCGTTGGGGGCTAAGATCGAGGCCGATTACGAGGCTATTAGATCGAGGGATGCGAGTGTTCATGTGGTGCCTTTTCACGCTGGTGAGTTGATGGTTGCTGGTTTCTATGGAGCTTCATTTCCTCGTTGTTCATGAATTTCGAAGCATTGAACTTCTTTATTGATGAATGTGGGTGCAATTTCTCTTCCATTGTATATATTTTTGGTCATTGAATTAACCCTCTGCTTTACATCATTCTCAGTGTTCGCTTCAAAAGCCTGGTTTTCTAGAATTAGGGTTTAACTAGATAATTGATAGATGCTTTTCCAACAACACGATTGAGCTTGATCATTTGGATATAGAACACTCTGATGTACTAATTCCAATACATTGAACTCATCAGGTTTGTGATGACGACTGAAATTGGATTTTCTTGGGATTAGTGAGGAAACTATGTTATAACAAGCTATATATATGTGTGTGTGTCTGTTAATGAATTGATAAATTTATTTATTTTTGTATTTAGCTACTTATTTCTCTGTGGGGTAGGGCTCGTTATCTATTAAACTCGATCGATCAACCGTATAGATAATCTAGTGTAATAAATAAGCTAAAGTTATTGTATCATATGATCAATGAATTACACGTGGAGTTAGAGGAAATTCGAAAGTAGGGATATGCATAGATTAGTTGGGGTTTAAATGCACCTCTTTCGGCCTTTTTGCGTAATTCCTGGAAGAACATTCCTTTCCTTTGTTCTCATTATTTTTCTAAAAGCGTTCATCAATAATGGACTTCAATTTTTAGCATTGTTTTATTTCCGTAAGTTTTGCTTTCATTATTGTGTGGGACGTTTGAAGTTGTAGCTATGGCTGTATTACACTATCTGTTATTTATTGCAGGATGGTTTTCATGGACAAAAGTTCATCCAATGGAGGAGAAGATGCTGCCTTCTTTTTTTAATGGAAAATCTGAGAGTAGGACTTCAGAGATATATATGGAGATACGGAATTGGATAATGAAGAAGTTTCATTTCAACCCTAATGAACAAATTGAGACAAAACATCTTTCTGAGATTAAAGTTGGAGATTCGGATGCTCAGCAGGAGGTGATGGAGTTCCTGGATTACTGGGGCTTGATTAATTACCACCCATTTCCGTTACAGGAGTCTTCTGCAATAGCAGTTGACAATGATGCTGACAAGGATGAGAATGGAAAAAATGTCTCGCTAGTTGAGAACTTATTTAAGTTTGAAACTGTTGAATCATGGACTCCAGTTGTTCCAAGAATGAATACAACAATGCCAAGTGCATCATCTGGTTTGCTTCCAGAATCTGTAGTTGCTGATGAATTGGTGAGGTCTGAGGAGCCTCGTGTTGAGTACCATTGTAATTCTTGCTCAGCGGACTGTTCAAGAAAGCGCTATCATTGCCAAAAGCAGGTTTTGTGTCTGAATTATGTTTCTCATTAAATGCTTATGTCGCATTGCTGTTACACCTTTAAGATTATTTATTGCTTTTATTTTAATGGCATCTGCCAAAAAAAATAAAAGAAAACAAGACGAAAAGAAAATATATATAGGGACCTTCCAATGATGCATTGTGCTCTAAATCACTAGCACAATATCATTTTTGTATATTGTGTTGGATTTCACCTAGTGGTATTTATGGCATGCCCCTTGAGAATGGTTACGAAACGTGGGTGCATGTAATGGGCCTTCTATTTTACATTACTTATGCATGTTTTAAAGGAAACAAATTGCTAATTTACTCAATTTGGCCAACTAACTGTTTTTATTCTTGATATCCTCCTTTCGTTTATAATTTTCTTTTTCTCTCCCCTTTTTCCTTTGTTGGAGTTAATTTCTTACTCTCTTATCCTCCGTTCTGTTTCAATGAAGGCATGTTTTACTAGGTTTTTCTTTCTTTTTTTTGCTTTCTTTCACTAAGTTACATATTTCTTACAGTTTCTTTTTATTTACTATGGGTCATTTCAAAATGCATTTGCTGTCTTAACTTGGTGCACTGTAAGAATGTATGGATAGGGTATGTCAATTTTGGTCTTTAAAAAAAATTGTATGATAAATGAAACAACAGTTTTGTTGTTTTATTTACTATAAGTCTATAACATGATGGTTGATAAGTATTTGTACTCCATTTTTTCAATCTATAATTTTGAGTATAATTTCTAGTAGGATATATAAGTGTGAGCCTGCACATTTGTGCCTTTACTTTGGAAAATTGTATCAAATAGGTGTGTATCTATGTGCTGTGTGTGATGTTATAGAAATTTTTTTGTGCCAGTCTGCAGTTTCAAAAACAGATGTGCTTGGAGAATCAATATTTGCTTTTCTGAACTTCTTGTTATACTAATCAACTCAAAATTCAGCACGTTTGGTTTTGTTTAACTGCTTTTTTATTTATTCGTCTTCCTCTCTGTGATGCCTTTTAGGTGAAATAGTGGTGGATGTTTTGAATGGAAAAGGGGTGTTAGATATGATGTTTTTGGAGGAAATTTGGGAGATTGAATTGTAAAAAGCTGGTAAAAAACACCTAAGTAAACAAAACCTCTTATCTGTCTATATTTGTGAGTATTGAATGGGAGTGGATCACCAGCCCCCCTCCCATTCAGCCCCATCCTGCCCCTCACATACATACATATATATACATATATGTGTGTATATGTATATATGTATGTATATATATATACACATATATATAGTGTATATGTATACTATATATGTATATATATGTGCATGTATACATACACATATAGTGTATACACTATATGTGAGGGGGGGCTGGATGGGAGGGGGGCTGGTGATCCCCTCCTGCATTGAATACATAGGGTTGACAACCCAAAATAAATCAATATGGGTCTAATATATTGGAGGAAACAAGATAGATTTACTTGTTTCTTGCATGTCTTTTTGGCTTTCTTATTGTCAACAGTAGGTTTCTTGTTAATTTTGCGGGTCCCTTATTGTTTATATTTATCATCATCTGTGGTGAATATATTGATTGGCTTTCTCTATACCCATTGGATGAGTTAAGAACTTATTTAGCTGAATATGTTGTCCATTTGCTAGATTAGTTTGGGCCAGGTTAATCCATCATTGTAACTGGGTCCAGATATTTCTGAACACGAAATATTATGTGATAATAAAACACCTAATGGAAGTGCAGTTAAGTAGATGGTTTTGAAATAGTGAAAGGGCTGTTTGTACCAGTTTGTTGTGAAAGAAACTTAGCTAATTAAAACTAGATACTATTTTTTTGCTGCATAAAATTTGCTCATGATTTATTTGCATTTTATGCTTTCTTGGTACTGATCTTTTCCTGCAATGAAGTTAATGAATAATATATTTAGTCCTTAATTACTGTTTGTATAAAGAGAAGTGCTTCTGCGGGAAACACTGCAAGTCTGCAATCATCCGGAATTTTCTTAAATAGGGAAACCGGCTTCTATAGGCTTTTTCTGTTTTTTTTTTTTAACCGCCCAAATGTTAGCAGCTGCTGCCTCCTCAGTAGGAGGCGTATATACAGCCATCTCACATGAATGCACTTTTATACATTACCTTTCCCGTTGTGCCTATACCTATATTTTGAAAGAAACTAATTTTCATAATTATAATATGTTGACAGGCTGATTTTGATTTATGTGCTGATTGTTTCAACAATGGGAAGTTCGGCTCAGATATGTCCCCATCCGATTTCATTCTTATGGAACCAGGAGAAGTTGGTGGTGCTAGCGGAGGGAACTGGACAGATCAAGAGACACTTCTTCTGCTTGAAGCGATAGAATTGTTTAGAGATAACTGGAGTGAGATTGCTGAGCACGTGGCAACGAAAACAAAGGCTCAGTGTATACTTCACTTTGTTCAAATGCCAATTGTAGATGCATTTTATAATCATGATGATGAAGTTAACGACCCTCCCAAAGACAATGAAGCACCAGTTGCCACCACTACTGAAAACTCAGCTATGGAAACCGATCAAGATGGAAATGCAATTCCTCAAGAGGTCCTTCCGAAAACAGAAAGTCAAGAAGGTGCTACTGATAATCAAGACCCATCGTGTCCGACGGACACATCAAAGCCAGATGAGATCAATGTATTAGATAAGAATTCCGAGGGTGGGGAAAGCTTTGTGTTGAAGGCCCTCCAGGAAGCATTTGAAGCTGTGGGTTCTCTTCCAGCACCTGGGGAAAAACTCTCTTTTGCTGAAGCTGGTAATCCTGTGATGGCAATGGTATGTGGACTATCCTTCCTTTTTACTGCTAATGCGATACATCTTTCTTCCAGATTGAGAATGATGTTGCTTTGAGTTCGTATCTGAAAATCCTGCAACTTATACTTCTCTAAATTCAACATGGCATTTCTCCAATGCAGGCAGCATTCCTAGTGCGTTTGGTGGACCCCACTGTGGTCACAGCATCAGTTCATAATCTTTTGAAATCTCTATCGAGCCATTCTTCCAGCGAGCATCTTGCTGCCCGACATTGCTTCCCTTTGGAGGATCCACCAGATGATAAGAAGAATCAGACCAATGTGGAAGGGTCGGTGCCTTTCTTTTCCATTTCCATAGCATACTTTTATTTGAATTATCTGATTTAACTGCGGGTTTTGCAGAGCATTAACTGAAACAATTGAACATGAGGCTCATAAGAACAAGAATAATCAGGCCAAGAACAAAGAAGGAACACCTGAATCAGTTGTCAATGAGAATAGTTCACAAGATGAGACTGAAGCCAGCAAAGATTCTTTATCTCAAGAACATGAAAAAATGGATTCTGCTTCTGAAGGTCAGAAATCTGTTTCAGACAAGTCTGATACTGTGAAGGAGCCTGATGAAATGGTTGCATCTGACAAAGCCCAACCAGTCTCTGCAAGGGAACCAAGCAGCACTAAATCTCGTAAAGATCGTGAAAACTTGACTGTCTCAGTGCACCATGCAGAGGCTGAATCCAAGCTTGTGAAAGAATCAGAAGACAAAGCTTCAGCTGGGGATGCCTCTCAGCCTAAAGAGCATAAAAAAGATGAGAAAATGACATCAGAGGCTGACTTGTCGGCATCATCTTCAATAAATGGGAAAGAAACAAATACAGGTACTAATTTCAGTAAGTCGGTTTAACTTGATATTTTCTTTTGAAATTCCTTGAAACAATTAATTTAACTACCGAGTAAATCAGCGGATAAATAATTGTGACTACCTCCGTTTGGTAACTTGGGAAAAGAAAAAAATACAGTACTAATTTCAGTAAGTCAGTTTAACTTGTTCTTATCTTTTGAAATTCCTTGGAATAATTAATTTAACTACCGAGTAAATCAGCGGATAAATAATTGTGACTACCTCCGTTCGGTAACATAGGCTGTAAGATGTATAAATTTGGCCCATTCACCTTTTGGACATGGTGGAACTGTAAAAGCACATAAAAGAAGTGCTTTATCTCAGAAATTTGGTTGGATATATTTGATGTTAATGATAAGATAAAGGAACTATCAAATGCCCACAGGTGAAAAAAGCGAAACTGATAGCGCTAAAGAGGAGCTAAATATCGACAAGCTTAAGAAGGCTGCTGTAACTGCTCTTTCGGCTGCTGCAGTGAAAGCAAAATTTCTTGCAGACCAAGAAGAAGAAGAGATACTTAAGCTCACCACAATGCTCATCGAAAAACAGGTAAGAATGCTTCCAAGTCATTTGGTCATCTGGTAACTTCCTGGTAGCCCTGAAAAATGAACTTAATTACACAACTATTTCAGTAAGAATTGAAAATAGCATGCTCAGTACTAACAGTAATTTGGTCCTACCATTTACATGAATTAATTTGACGTGAATCGTGACAAGATTTTTGGTAGCCAGCAGTAGAATTATTCACATTTCACAATTATTTAAATATACTAATCCATGTTTGACGATTGAATTTCTTTTGGTTTTCTAGTTACTATATTGATAGAGCTAAAATTGCAATCACTCTCTATTGTGTGTTTTGTTCAAGCATATTATTTTACTGCCGGAATGGTGTCTAGGGGAGTTCCATCTTTAACAATAATTTGGTTTATTTTCACTGTGATTATTTATTTTTCATTTTGACACGATATTATACAAAACAACACATGCACGTGCGCATCCCTAACGGGCGAAGTTTCCTTTCTTGCAGGTGTACAAGCTGGAGACCAAAATGGCGTTCTTTCATGATATGGAAAATGTGATGATGCGGGTGAAGGAGCAATTGGATAGGTCGAAGCAGAAACTTTTTCATGAAAGAGCACAAATTATCGCGACAAGATTTGGCATGTCAGCATCTGCTCGTCCCAACATGCCGGGTGCACCTTCAAACAGAGCTGCGCCGAATGTTCCCAACCCGACACCAAGACCCCCTTTTATGGGCATGAACTCCCTTAGGCCCCCTTTTCCGAGACCGCCGAATCCAAATCCTAGTTCGGCTGCTACTTTTGCAGCAGCTGCGAGTAACAACACAGCGCCGGGTTCTGCACAGCCCAACACAGCAGGCATGAAGTAGTTGCTTCGATTGCCTGCCTGCTGCCATGTAAGTTCCTTCCAACTGTCGCCTTGAACGCTTTTACTTATATATATATATACACCAAAGATTTGGGCAGATAAACTGACTGACTGACTGACTACATATGTTATGATCGATATTACTAAAAACTCAGAGAGCTTCTATGTGTAGGATATTATGATATTCTTTGTGTTGTGTGGTTTTTTGTACTTTGGCTTAGTTTTAACTAATGACCCCTTTTGAACTGCTTCTGCTTGGTTTCCTTTCTTGTTGTTTTGATGAATTTTACAATATCATAGGCTGTGTTTTATTGTGTTTGGATTTTTGGATTTGGATTTTTTAATAATAAAATTTTGAAATTGAATAGGTATTTGACGTCCCTTTTTCACAGGTTTGGAGTTTTAAAGCTTTGAAAAAATTTTATTTTTATTCTTACATAATTCTCAATATATATATAGTTTTTTATACATTTCGATCCAAAACACTAAATAAATAAATTTTATATAATTTGATATGGATTTTTTTATTATTTTATATATTCGATGTGTTTGTTTTCAAAAAAAGAAAATAATAAATCATTGTAGATAAATAGTACAAATATTTACAAAATTGGGGTAAGTGGTTTTTTGGAGTTTGATTATTATTATTATCATTTAGAAATTGCAAATAGATATTGAATTTATATAAATATTTTGTAGAATTTAATGGATGGAGTAGAATTTGCACTTTGGATGTTTTTATTGGGTTAGAAACGAATCTAAAAGTTATAACTTAAAAAAAATACTAATAATTTAACAAAATAATTATATCTTAAAATTAAAATGACTAAATAATTATATTAAAATAAAAAATTATAAATTATGATTTTAAAATATAATTAAAATGTATAATTTATATTTTTTTTTGTAAGATTGACAAAAGTAGAAAAAATAAACAAATTATGTAAAAGGAAGAGAATATAAAATAATGCTATAGATTCTCTATCAACTCACAAAAATAAAAAAATCAACACAAAAAATATACTATATATATATATATATCTTTTCATATTAAACATACAAGTCTACATACTAATATTGAAAAACAGATTTATTTATTTATTTATTTTTATTTTTTTTTGTTGAGTTCGGGAAAAATTTATTTGAATTTCGTATTAAAATAATGTTTGAGTGAATATTATGGGAAAGAAAATCCAAATAGTAAAATTTGAAAAAATTTGATTAAAATGAACTATATTAATGTAATTAATTAAATAATATAATTAAAGTACTTATATAAATATGCTTAAATGAAAGTTTGTAAGATATGATCTCATGCAATTATAAACCATACAAATTCAAAAACACAAAGTGAACACACCCTATAAGCAAAAAATGTTTGAACTCAAACTTGAACTCACTTTATCCCATTTTAAAAGTTGCAGAAAGTATTCAATGCAATGATAAACATGAGATGATGCATAAGAGAAGCCAAAGAAACAAAAATAAATAATGAGATGAAACTTAGATCAATCGAGAGAGCGCACACACTTAACCCTACAAAATTATATATAAACACAGGCGTACTTACGTGTGTTTGTTCAGACTCGGACCAACACCAACTCGACAAAATAAAGCTATCATCAATCCATCCATCCATCCTACTTCTCATTGCTCCCGACTCAAAAGCATCAACACTCGCATCCTGATGAAGCCCTTTGCTGATTGCTGCTCCCGACATCTATTGTGTCGGGCAAGTATCTTTTATAAACATCCAAGAATTGGAATACACAAAGATTGATCAGTATGGTTGGCATAATACGCAAGAAATGAAAGCAATCCAGGAATGTATTATAGTAACTAAACTATCATGATGTAATACAATTAGGCCCGGCTCTTTCGGAGTTTAGTTTTAGTTTTAGTTTTTTTTATTATGCATCAACTATATACTATTTTCTATCACAAAATATCATATCCAAACTACTATACAAAGCAAAAAAAAAAAAAAAAATAATAATAATAATAAATAAAAGTAAAAATAATAGTAATAATAATAATAATAAAATCAAATTATACTTACATTTCTTCTTCTTCTCCACTCTTCATGGCATTCTTTGCAATGACCTGGAATGCTTCCTCCACATTGATGCCTTCTTTTGCAGAAGTCTCAAAGTATGGAATATTCCCTTTCGAGGCACACCATGCTCGAGCCTTTTTCTCAGATACCTGTGGCAGCGACAACAAGGAAATTGGCAATGGGGATTAGCATGAGCTCACCAAATATATATATATATATATATATAAGAGAGAGAGAGAGAGAGATGATTACCACTCTACTATTTCCACCATCCACATCAACCTTGTTACCTATCACAACAAATGGGAAATTTTCTGGATCGGATGGGCTTGCCTGCAATTAAAGATCTCTTTTTCAGGATTCTTCAGGTAAGTTACGAGGAATGGGGAAGAATTACGAAGTTCACCCTATCAGATCGAACCTTTGTTAACCATTGTGTAGTGATATATTTTAGATATTTAGTTTATGGTTTTGAATAAATTTCTATCATCTATATTAGACAGTTATTATTTTTTAGTCTATCCGGTTTATATCATGCCTAATTATAGGCCCTCTAATTTCATCATTAATAATATGCAATTATGAAATTCTACAAAATATAACATGACGAGCTACATTTTCTCCAAATACATCCCTGTAACTTAGAATGTACCTACTCTCAAATCTGAAATTTACTACCACTTCAAAAATATATAACCCAGAGTCGGTAAATATATCTCAACACATTGAAATTTAAGAGACGCAGCATAATTTCAGCAACGTCGAATAAAGCCTACAAGAAACTATATTCATAGTAACAACCATGAAGATAATAAGGAAAGGAAACGTCCAAGAAAACAATATATTCTTACACTAATTTGAAGCACATGCATGTTAGGGCCATGATTTATGAATATAAGCATCCTGTTATCAATAATACTAAAAATTCAATAAGACAGGCACTACATTCATCTTATCCCTTGGTGAACTCGGATGAAAAAGGAGGTAAAGTTCTCGAACAATAGAGCAAAAAGTAAGAATTAAAAATACCTGAACTAAGAATTCCTCCCTCCAATTGTTGAGATTGTCAAATGATTTCATCAGATTGACATCGTAGACTAGCACACAGCAATCAGCACCACGGTAGAAAGCGACCCCCAGACTTTGAAACCTCTCTTGCCCAGCTGTGTCCCATATCTAAGTGAAGATAAACTCAAACTCTAAGAAAAAGATTGCTACAGTGTGTTTCTTTTCAGACTCTACATGGTTTTTTACTCTTTGGACTCCACGGATCCCGAAAAAAATATATTTATTTTACTGTCACAAAACATTATTTAAATAAAAAACGCAAAGCTCCAAACCAATCTAGACTGAAAAGAAACACATTGTTTCCTTCTTAATGTGTTTGTTCGACTTTGATCATATACTGATACACACATACCATTCCAATAACTAAAGTACTAAAGTAGGGAACTGAACTGTTCCCTCATATTACCCTGATAAAGAAAATTATGATGACACATTTGAAATTTCGATATTTGTAACATAGTATAAATATTTGGAAGGGTATGTGAAGTTCTATTGTTTTTATTGTTTTTCATTTTCGTATGCTTATGGCAATGGTTTTGCAAGTAAAAAGGCCCTCTTGACAACACAGACAACAGATTGATGCATTTCAATGACATCAATATGCTCTACTCCATTGACAATACCCAGTAACATTTTCGATCGTATGTTCATACTATAAATTTAAAGTTAAATAATTTTTCACCCTAAACAAATAGTATCCATTGCCTCTTTCTTATTTAAAACATCATATCCAACATATGCTTTCCATTCAAAACATTACATCCAAAACCTATTTTGATATTTTCTATTAGAAAAAATTCAAAAATACAAAACACAACCAAACAAGTAACCATTCAAACTAACCTGTAATGTGAAAAGCCTGTCTTCAAACTGCACTTCTTTTGTGAGGAAATCTGCTCCAATTGTTGCCTTGTATTGGTTGCTAAACTTCTTATTTACATATCTTTAAATGATAAGTCAATGAACACATCACATTCAAACTAATAACCAAATTCACTTCCACCAGTAGGTTTAGTAAATTCTAAAATGTTTGGAAGAAATTAACGTAACAATTAATGATCGTAAACAGAGCCTAAATGTTTGGAAGAAATTAACATAACAATAATTGATCTAGGATACTGGTTCATCAAGGAGGTCTTCCCCACCCTGAAAATCAAACAAAAAACAATATTGACAAAAGACATAAAATGAAATCATGATATATATCTACTCGTAATCATCATATGCACACAAAGATAAACATGGATAACAATTTCCAAAGAGCTCATATAAATTTTCTAAGGGTGTGTTTGTTTGGGGGTTTGGATTTTGAGTTGGGATTTGAATAGTAAAAATTTTGAATTTGAATAGTTGTATGATGTGATATAAATAGGTGTTGATGTGATGTTTTGAATGTAAAATTAATTTTTAGTATAATATAAAAAATAAAAAATAGGTATTTGATTTGATGTTTTTGGGGGGAAAAAATTGGATGAATAGTAGAATTTGGTTGAAATTCTACAACCGAACACACCCTAAATATATTTGAGGAAACAGAATATGTAAAAGAAATTACCCCTCATGAAAAAACTTGCTCAATAATCAAGGAATTTAATGATCTCCATTTATCAGGCTAACTATAAACTCTACAATATAATATCACCAGTGTGTGTGTGTGTGTTTGATCTTAGCAACAGTAAGCTTCTTATTAGTTTGACTTGAACCGATTTATTAGTTTGATCTTGAATTGATTCAGAATTTTGAAACTCAAATCACTCCAAAAACATACAACGCACAAGCATACTACATGCAATCCCAGTTTCCATTAATTGCTTCTTTCCTCTACTTATATCTACTCAATCAACGAGTGTGATGTTCAAATTGCGAACTCACATCATATCTAACTAAACACTCAAAACAGCAATCCACACCAAAATTGTTCTCTAAACATAAAATCAAACAAATAAACAGCAAATAAAATCCAAGGAACGGAGCAATTTTGACATAAGTAGTCAATTTCAGTGAATGCAACAAAAACACTGACCCGCTGTCGCCGAGAATGATGACCTTGAGGAGAGCTCGTTTCCGCGACGGCATCCTGTGGACTTAGTAATCAGGACTCGCGGCTAACCCGATCTAAGATTCTCAGTTAGCCTCCTCAGATCGAAGCTCTCAAGAGGGTTTCGGATTCAAATTTCTACCCCTTTTGGGTGTTTTGGATTTGCGAAAAAATCGGGTTGATTTGAAACAGAAAAGAAAATTTCCTATTGTGTGCGAATCGAATTTTTGGATTGAAATTTTTTTTCTTTAATTTATAATATTTATATTATATTTAAAATAAAATAATATATATAATTTTAAAATTACTAAAAATATATATATAATATAAACCTAAATCAGGTATTTAGTTAAGGTTCATTAGTTTATATGAATCCGATCCAAAAGATATATGAGTCGTGTAGATTTGAAGTTAAAATTTAAATTTACATTAATAATGTTTTTGTTACACTGATACATCAACCGATAATAATATGACCCGAAATTTATTTAATATAATCATGAGAAAAAAATGAGAAATTATGTTCTGATAAAAGCCGGAGTCTTGGTAAAATAGTAGATAGATTAGCTAAAAAAAAAAATAGACGATCAGCATGCACAGTGAGCACCGGTGAAATTAGATGCTGTGAAATATTTTGTGAAAGAGGAGAAATTTATGAGGCTGAATATCATAATGCTACTTTGTAAGCTCGATCTTATTGTTATGAGTTGATGTGAGCTTGGATTGGAAATTTCAGATGTAGGTTAGTTGCACCAGAATTAGGTTACTAATTGTTATGTATTTTATTTTTCGCTCAAAGTGTTGTGTTGTTTGATTATCTTTTTAACTACCTCTTTGCATAAATTTGCAGCGTTTCTTGATGTTTCATTTTCTTTTTCTTGACAATTTAAGCGAGTTTGGAACCAACAATTCGTATCATAGCCTCATCTTTAAAATATTATCGAAAAGCTATTCAAATGTATGTCAAAGAAAAAAATTTGTTTCCAAACATATTTCTCTCATGTTGTAAGAGACGATAGACAAAAAATTCATTCATAAGTCTGTCTAAAATTTTAATTTGAAGAAGATTCAAATGATTGATAGACGGCTTGTGAAGAAAGCCTAAAAATCTATAGCTCTAGCGAACACAACATAACAAAAAGCTGGTGTTACGAGAAAATGAAAAATTACGAAAATTTTTATCATGTTTGATGATGCAATATGTTGTGGTTGTAATGAATATGGACACCTTCAGAGTGTTGGGTGAAACTTGGAGTTACGATGAAAATGAAGAAGATGAAGTAATTGTTTTCACCGTACACGATGATGAGAAAGTTGAAAAAAAAAATGATGCTGAATTCAAAGAATTGAGTTGTGAAGAACTGATCGATACCTATGAAATGGTCGTGGCTGACAAAAGGTATTGATTTTCCAAAATGAAAAATTAAAGGCGTGTGTTGTGAGATTGGACAAAAATATCGAAATGCCGATAGAAATGAATAAGAAATCAGACTGAAATGAATGATTAATTTGTTGTAGAGCATGAAAATTGCTTCAAACCTCAAATGAACAATTGAAGAAAATCAATAAATTGGAGGTGGAGAATAAGAAGTTTGTTAATAAAAATAGTCAATCAATGATAGAGAAACAAAAAACTAGACGAGGTGTTGAATTTTGAGAAATCATACGATGATCACAATGGAATTAAATACACTAATGGGGCTGGAACCTCTCAAACAAGATTTATTAAAGGTAGACTTCTTTTAGAATCAAACAATAATAAGGATACCGAGAAACTTAATGTGGATTTCAAACATTTTAAAATCGAAGAAATGTTCGAAGATCAGACAGACCGTAGTCAGACTTGGTGTATTGTAGGAGAATATGACATAATTCAAATCAATATGCTCAAATTATATGTGATATACTTAAAGGAAAATAAAGTTGCGATAAAAACTTAAATAGAGAATAAAAATCAGATGTCCGTGAAGGCCAAAGGTAACATCAAATGTCGACAATTGCACCATTTATGAAAGATTCAAATGAAAATATATTCAACTCAAAAGTTAATGTTAGTGATATTATTTAAGTCATTAATGAATTATCCTCTGATGATATTGAAGTAAAATTTGGTGTAAGGACAAAACCTTTAACTGATTAATATGCTATTGTTGACAATCTTAAAAGTGGAATAATTATAAAAGATAAATTCACGATCAAGCCAAAGAAAGTGCAAAAATTCTAGATAACGAATATGCGATAATCAATAAAAAAAAATTAAATCATCGCAATTGAGCACAATCACAAATAGATGTGCTACTATTTTTACTATTTACTCTACTACTTTATTATTAATATTTTAATAAATTTACTACTCTTTCACTCCAAGTAAGAAGTATACATTTACTTTTGCCACAGAATTTAATTTAATTACAGTAGTAGGTAAAAGAACTCTTTAGTATAAAAGTAATGATGCGAGTAAGGGTATTTGTGAAAAAAAAAATAGCGTATTTAATAAGATAGTTACTTTGTAATTGGACGTCCCAAAATAGAAATATGTATTCTTTATAGTTGGAAGAGGGAGAGAGTATAATATTTTTATTTTACTTTTACCTTAGTATTTTTATATTAAAATACTATTATTATTATTTGTCTTTTATTGTAGCATATTGTAGCATATCTAGTCAGGAGGGAATAATATTTCTTTTTTTATATTAATAAAAGGAATAAATATTTATTATATAGCATGAAAATGAATATAAAAATAAAATAGAAATTAAAAAATAGAGAATAAAAAAGCGTATTTGTAGGAGACAAATTAGGAAGGGGAACGGCCACAGTTATTTTAAGTTTGAAAGAAACGCCATGCAGCATTTTCTTTTCTCTCTCTACTCTCAAAATCCTTCCCCGCGCTTCTCCTCAAGGTAATGGAATTTTATCTGTTTCTTTGTTGAAGTTTTGCGTATGATTTATGCACTGACCGATTACTTTTGACGAATTTGTTGTTGCGTTGATGTGTGCTGTCTGATTAGGAATATTCAATTTGTTGATTTTTTAAATTTGCGTTGAAGCTTTTGTGTTGGTTTAATTGAAATGATTGTAGGCTTAAAGTTGCATTGTTTATAGGATTCGTTGATATTGAATTGGAGGTGAAGATTTACGATGATTATAGAAATATGTAATTTGAAGATTATTTAAATTTGCGTTGGAGATTCTGTGTTGGTTTGATTGGATGAAATTTCTTCGTTTATGTGAATGCTTGAGGAAACGATTGCAGGCTTAAAGTTGCAGCGTTTATTGGTTTTGTTGATTTGATATGGAGGTGAAGATTTGTGATGATTCGACTGATTGTCTGAGAAAACATTTCTGTAATTGTGTTAATGGTAGAAAACTTGACGAGCAGCGGGTTGGAAGAAGGTGGAAACCTTGGACAGCGGTACGGCGAGTTCAGGAATGTCTTCCTCGCCGCCGCCGCCGCCGTCCGATGTTTGGACGTTGCCATCAGGCGACGATTCTTCATTATTGTCTCCACCGCCGCCGCCGTATTCAGACTTCTATTCTCCACCGCCGCCGCCGCCGCCGCCATCTTCTGATTCCGATGGTGTTTCAAGAGCCTCGGCACCATCCGATTCTTCTTCGAACGAAAATTCATCCGATCAATACGAACCATCACCTCCGCCGCGATCAGGATCTCACTCGCACCACCACCGCCACCACAACTCTCACTCATTAACCAGTGATAGGATCATCGGCGCCGCCGCCGGTGCGGCAGCGATACTCGCCGTGGTTGTCCTCATCGTGATTTGCGTCGTGAGGAAGAAACGAAAGGCTCGTAAGTCCAAATACTACGACGATTCTCAGGAAAATCCAAGTAAGCTAACTTCCAATCAATCAATCGATGCAATTTCCGTTCTCAATCAACAAAAACTGCAGAATTAACGCTTCTAATTCGCAGGTGGATACTACGGCAACAAACAAGGGCAAAATTGGAACAACAACTACCAGGACCACATGGTAAAGATCCCTCCTCAATCCACCGGCTGGGCGATGCCGCCGCGGCCGCCGACGGTGAGCAATAGCGACGTTAGCTCCGGTGGCTTCAATTCCGGTCCAGCACTGCCGCCGCCGCCGCCGCACACAGGGATGGCCCTAGGGTTCAACCAGAGCAGCTTCTCGTACGAAGACCTAGCTGCAGCAACCTCGGGGTTTGCAAAATCGAATCTGCTAGGGCAGGGCGGTTTCGGATACGTCTACAAAGGAGTTCTTCGCAACGGGAAGGAAGTTGCGGTGAAGAGCCTGAAGGCGAACAGCGGACAAGGGGAGCGCGAATTTCAGGCGGAGGTGGACATCATCAGCCGAGTCCATCACCGCTATTTGGTGTCTCTGGTCGGATATTGCATCGCCGGAGCTCAACGGATGTTGGTTTACGAGTATGTTCCTAATGGCACTCTGGAATTCCACCTTCACGGTATGGATTGGAATGGATTCACTTGATCTCCCTCCCTATTTCATTCATTCCTTTGCTCTTGTCTTCGTGAATCGATTAGATGAACATTATAATGATTGATTGATGCAGGAGAAGGTCGGCCGCCATTGGATTGGGCCACCAGGCTTAAAATTGCTCTGGGAGCTGCCAAAGGATTTGCCTACCTACATGAAGACTGTAAGTTCATCTCTGTTTTACGTTCATCTCAACTCCATTTAGTTCTGTCATGTCTTTGCTTAGATTTTTTTTTTTATTGATTTTTTATTATTTATATATATATATATTTAAAAGACTAAATTTAAATTTTATATTACTTTTTATATTACTCAAAATATTATCACAATATACATTTATATATAGCATCAAATAATTAATTCTAAATTCGACATCAAAATCTACAACTAAACACACCCTCATTAAAAAGTTAAATTTATTTTTAAATTATGTTTTTAAAAACTACTGAAGAAATTTATTGAATATATAAAAAATAGTATAATCAAGTAATAATTGTTATTTGTTAATTAAAATGATTATTAAAGGTTTTTTTTAGAGGAGTTTGTTTGGTTTTGATTTGAAAGTGAGGCGGTGATTTGAGTTTTGATTTAAAAATAAGATTAAAAGTAAATCCACCCTAATTAGTAATGTAATTTTTAGAATTTTACCTTATATTAAATACATTTTTAATAGTTAATCTTTCAAATTTGATGTAAACTTGAAAATATAGTATGTTTGTTTGAGGGTTTGAATTTTGAATTGAGATTTGAATAGTTGTGATATTTTGAATATAAAATTAATTTTTAGTATAATATAAAAATAAAAAATAAGTGTTTAATTTGATATTTTAGAGGAAGGGGAAAAAAATTGGATAAATAGTAGATTTAAAATTCAATATCCCAAACAAACACACCAATTTGTTGAAAATATATTGAATGTATATAATAAATTCTGCACACAAGAATATTATGCAATTATATATATAATGCTCGGGATGACTACTGCAAGTAGACATTTTTAATATGTGAAAATGGAGTATAATTATGATTTTTTAATATTTTATTAATTTTAAGGGTTCTAAAGATTTTTATGTTTTGTGGATTTTGACTTACTTATATTTTGGTTTATGTTCAGTAAGAAAAAATAGCAAATATTTACAATGAATTACAATAATTTGACAATAAGTAAAGTTAAAATAAATAAATAAAAAAAAAAATATCAACTAAATTCATAATCACTATTTTGCGAGTGCATACTCAGTAAACCTTTGAATCGAACATATTAGCAAGCAAAGTTTTCATTGTTGGTGTTGTTGTAATTGGGCTAGCTGATGTTTATCAAATCCTAACATACCTTTTAATTATATTCTTTGTTGATCAGGTCAGCCTCGTATCATCCACAGGGATATAAAAGGTGCAAACATTTTGCTAGAGATGAATTTTGAAGCAAAGGTACCACATTGCAGGGCTATACTGCAACCATATCAACTTATTTATTTTATTTTATTTTTCTTGATAATTTTGATTATTTACGATATATATGTGTATATATATATATATGTATGTATATATATGTACATCTTGGTTTCATTCGACTTACTGTTTGTGATGATCTAAAGTTGCATATCATATATTTACACGTACAGGTTTCTGATTTTGGATTAGCTAAGCTTTCTCAAGACACCAACACTCATGTTTCGACTCGAATCATGGGAACATTCGGGTGAGGACGAGTATATTTAAATGTCACGTTCTTAATATGTTGCACATGATATTATGAACAGGAGGATGGTTATGGTGCTAATTGTGGCTAATCAATCATGTGTTGTTTTGTTTTAGTTTATATATGTGTTATGTTAATATACATAGGACCAATTATACTATCTGATGCGCAAATTATTATCATATAGTGTTATTTTATATATTTATTTATATTATATTAATACGTATATTTTATGTTGACCGAGACATGTATAGTTTATATGGTGTTAACACTATGTTGATTAATTATAATTACTATAGTAATAATTGCATATGACTAGATATGGTTAGTAAAAAATATATAGTATTTTTAAATAATAATGAAAAATATTTCATTAAATATTGTACCATATAAAAATGCGATACATGAAAAAAACAATTGTTGTAATGTAGGTACCTAGCTCCTGAATATGCATCTACTGGGAAGCTGACTGAAAAGTCCGATGTCTATTCATTCGGGGTAATGCTTTTGGAGCTGATAACCGGACGGCGTCCTGTTGACTTAACCGAAGAAGATGAAGATAGTTTGGTTGAATGGGTATGAAAACATACACTCTGCTTTCGATGTTTTGGAATCCACAGATTATTCGATCAAATTATTTGCCTAACCAATCCATTTCTTTGTGATATGCAATTATTATTTGTATGTTCCTAAAGGCTACACCCATCATGGAGAGAGCCATGGAAGGAGGAAGCTTCGAAGAGATGGTGGATCCGCGGTTGGGGAAGAACTACGATGAACAGGAGATGTATCGCATGCTTTGTTGTGCTGCTGCTGCCATTCGACATTCTGCAAGGCGACGCCCTAAAATGAGCCAGGTCTGAAACTCTGTCAATTTTTTGTTTTTTTTTTTTACACCACATACACTCACACACACCCAAAATTGAATTCAGGTCATAGTCCTAACTAGAAATGTCTTACCGCTTGATTTACAAAAATTTGACTAAAATTCTTTCAAATTTCCTTGCATGCTCGTGCACGCACACGCACATACGCACATTTATATACATGCAAATAATTAACAAGGATAATAATTAGTAGCTTAAGATTTACGAATTTCTTTCAAGATAGTAATCAGGTTAAATTGTTTTAAACTCACTTAAATTAGCTTTCTTTTCGTGTTAAAAACAAATTTTGAAATTTGAAAACATGAATGAATGTTAGATGCAGTTTCTTTTGAGAATTTTGTGTTAGAAGCAATTTTACACAGTAGATGAACAACTATTTCTCAACTCATGTTTCGAACTAAATCATAATATGCTATGTGAATTTTTATTGTATATTGGTAGTTCATATTATGCATTTTATATTAAGATCAATTGTGGCATGTGTTATGTTAACTGTTATTATGTTCTATCAATTCAATCATTATTTGTATTATGTTAATACACATTTTATATTAAAATCATTATACAAATTATTAACATGTAATATCAATTTATAATTAATCTGCACTGTAACTACTGTTATATATATATATTTATCAATAATAATTTGTAAATATTTACGTCCTTGTATTTAACTTGCAACATTATGCGCGTAGATTGTTCGCGCTCTAGAGGGCGACGTGTCTCTAAACGATTTAAGCGTGAAGCAAGGCGGCAAGGCACTAATGGGGTCTAGGAGCAACTCAGATTTTGACCTAAGGCCCCTCGAAAAGGCCAATGGATCATCCTCGTCTAGCCAAGAGTTTAACAGCGGCGACGAAGGGCGAACAAATTCACGAGCCTAAACAACAGCCGAGAATCCAATAAAATGAAAAGAAAAAAAAAAAAAAAAAAACAAAGCTCCTATCGATCAGGTCAGTCGATCTAACAACATTGGGTTAATTAAACTCACCTAACATATATATGCTTGCTACCTTTGAACCTAAACAGAAAACCACATAGGAAGAAATATTAAGTCGAATTATTATACAACATATAATATGAATAGGATCGCAAGTTTTGCCACGTGACACGTATGTGTGCTTGAATTAATTAATTATATGGTTTTGAAGATGTTGTTTGTAGTTTCTAACATTTTTTATTGTCCGGTTGAAGTTGTGCTTGTATATTTTCAGATCGAACTATATTTCATGAAAGATAGTAGATGGAGTGTGTATACATGTAACCATAGCATGATTGATCTTCTTCATTCTATTCATTGTCATTTTATATACAAAATATCTATTTGAATTGATCGGTCAATGATGACATGCTTGGCTAGAAGAAAGGTTTTTAGACTACAAATACTCTAAACTTTGTCAAGAAAAAAAAAAAAAGAAAAAAGAAAAAAAGCTCTATAAAGATTAATATTATCAATTAATTATTAATATGAATTGTAAAACAACACATATTTACTAGACTAACAATTTTGTTATACCGAAATATATGAATAATGATCACGAGTATTTAATTCTCTCTAATATGTATATATGTATAATAGAGAGTATATAATTCTGCAACCCGATTGTACAAGTATATATGCATGATTTTTTGTTTTCCAGTAGTAGCTTCCTAATATGTATAATGTCATTCACTTATTACTATGGAACTTAGATATTTAGTCATTCGCTTATTACTATGGAACTTAGATATTTAGTAGACTATGACATAAATATAAAAAGATCAAATGTGTTCTGATAATTGTAATGAATTTCATACATAATTTTTAATACGAACGAAAACACCCACAACTCTTTCTCTATATTTATATGCACATATGCTATTCCACTACAAAGTTCCACTTTTAAGGAGAATCTATTAATTTCATAATATCGAATGTTATGGATGTATTTATTGTAAATTATTAGACTCATATCAATTCTCTATTTGCATGTATATATATTGATGGCGGACATAAAAGTATTTTTAAACGACCAAAATGTTCATACTTTATATAATTATTGTAGAAAAATAGGGATAATTTTGTAAAAAAATGGGGACATAATTATTAAAAATAGAAATGAGTATATTATTTTGAGACTGAATAAATGACAAAATTGAACTATTGTTTTGGAAAAAAAAAAATATATACACATATCCTTACACAATATTAGTGGTTGAACTAACTTTTGAGCTCGGGGCGAAATACTAATATTTTTATTAATATTTAATAAATAATAAACTAATTTAAATAAAATAATTAGTTACTTCCACTAATTAATCCAAGTATTCCATGCAGTCTTCTTTAATTGTGGTATGCTATTGTTATAAAATCAAAATATGTTAGTATAAATTGACGAACTATTGTTATAAAAACAAAATATATTAATATAAATAAATATTCATATGATCTTTAAAAAAAATTAAATAAATAATAAAATTCTAATAAGAAATCTACAAAACAACGGGACCAAATGAACACACTTAAAATTTTGTTTAAATACATATTTAAAATTTTTTTTGATATTATCTATATATTTTCAAAAAAATATACTCCTCCCTGATTAAATTTCTCATCTATTATTTTAATTTTTATAAATTAATTTTTTTTATTTATTTATTTTTTAAAAATAATTTTCAATCAAATAGTAAAATTCTTATATATATATATTTTTAAATATTACATTACTTTATTAAATTAAATATCTATAAAATATTATTTTACTGGTAAAAAGAAAATAAAAATTTACTGATGGACAGATATAATACTATATAAAAAAGTATATTTTAATTTTAAGTTTGAATTTTGAATAATAAAATTTTAAATTAAAATAATTGTTTGATGTGATATAAATATGTATTGACGTGATATTTTTAATATAAAATTAAATTTTAATATAATAAAATAAATAAAAATAAAAATTTTAATTTAATATTTTTGAAAAAAAAAAAAAAACCATCGGTCAACCCTAAACCCAACATTAAACACAACCTATATTTTATTTACTCCATCGGTCCGACCTAATTAACCTCCGCACTTCAAAATTCCTCACTTGTACCTTGTGCTGTGTCTGTGGGACGTCGAGAAATCTCCAGAGCTGAGGTGAGGTGAGGTGAGGTGATCGATCCGCACTTCTTCCCACTCCTCGCTCCTTTGTTTATCAGCCGAAATGGGAGTTTGCGTTTCAACGATCTGAGAATTGTGTGTCTATTTGTCGTTTGAAGCCATCATTTTTATTGTTTTCAGTTGGGGAAGGAAGCAAATCTCTGTACAATGGCGCAGCCGCTTGTGAAGAAGGACGATGATCGCGACGAGGAAGGTTTGTTTCTGGGATTTGGATATTTGTTTCTATAGATTTTGGATTTGTGCTGCAATTATTTGCGGTTTCAGATCGAACTTGCCTGATTTAATTTCATATTCAGATCTGTCGATTTGGTATCGATTTGGAGCCCGTAGTTAGTAACGCGCGATTAATTTGAATTAGAGTATTAGGCAATTTGATAGAGTTCATCGTCGTCCTGTGTTGTTTGGATTCTAATTAGGTTTCCTTTTTTCTGGAATTACATGATTTGCTTGACACAATATTGTTTGGAGATTTCCCGTGTAGCATTGTTTAGATTAGGGCGTTTTTGACTGCATAACTGATTCAATTGGGGTTTTAATCTTACATGTTTTCCTTTTCCTCTTATTCTAGATCTGCATTTTTTATTTTTTAAGTTTGAATTGTGATAGATTGAAATAGGCAAGGGATCATATAATTGTTCAATCAGGGTATAAGATTGAATTTCTTCGTATGTTATTATGTTTGATCACATGCTTAATATGTCTCTTCGATACTGTCACAGCTGAGGAGTATATCATAGGTCTTAAAAAATGACTTTTCTATATTCTAAAGCATTGGATTTTGGATGTGGATTTGGAGAAAGGGATTGTGTTGACTATATAGTTTGATGGAACGTTCAAATTGGCAATCGCCCATATTCGTAGAGGTTTATCAGAAGGCTCTGTTCATATAGAAGTTTTTGAAAAAACAAAATGGGTATTTGATGAATAGGGTCAAAAATTTCAAAATATCTATGTAAGCAGAGTCTTAATATTTAAAATTTGTCGATACTTGTGATCCTGAATGCGTTATACATGTAGCAGATTACTCCCCATTTTTGGGGATTGAGAAAGGTGCAGTATTGCAGGAAGCAAGGGTTTTTAACGACCCTCAGTTAGATGCAAGAAGATGTTCACAGGTATGTCTCTTAAATGTTTATATCAAATGAAATAATGTTTCTATGTTTATGACCTTTTGTTGTATGTAAAACTTACATAGTTGTATGTGGTGCGCAATGACGAAAATTACAAATGGTGCAGCCTCTGCGCCATTTGCTATGTCATGGCACGCCTCATCCAGTGATCTGGCCAACGCTCTGTTGCCATGGCACAAGGCGCCAAGGCGTGATTTTTTTAATTTTTTATGTATATTTATTAGGGTTAGTTAAGATTAATCTGGTTTTCTTCTGTATTTATTCATTAAAATTAGGTTACAAAAAGTTTGATTGTACCTCTCTTTCTACCTTTCTCCCACCCAAAGCTGCTGCCCCTCTACCCTCCTTCTTTCTTTTTTCTTCTTACCTCTCATCACTTTCTTACCACTGGTCAACTGCCTGGTAAGGCAGTGGCTGCTTCTGTTTTTCATATATGTATATATATATTAGTCTAGGTTTGTGTTACTATTCAATATTCATACCTAAACTGTTCTATTATATAGTTATATACATATATATATGTTATATACTCCCTCCAGCATAATTATGCCACTTTCTTTGTAAATTATGCTGGACGGAGGGAGTATTTTATAATGTGTATGACTTGAAGTTCAATCTTGTCCAATGTTATGTATGTTTGTATGATATATACGTGTTTTATGTACAAATATGTGTATGATGTATATTAAAATATAGTTATAGTGCATGGCACGCTCCATGGTGTACCGTTTGCTATTTTTAACTATGAAAAAGTACAATGAAATTAACTGCCTTATATTTATTCATTTAGGTAATCACAAAGCTTCTATATCTGCTGAATCAGGGCGAAACATTCACAAAGGTCAGATATTCTATTCTGTTTACTATCTCTCTAGCGCTATAGTTCCGTAATTTTTCCGTATATACCTGATCCAGAACATGAATGCTTAGTAAAATGTAAATAAGGAACTACTCTTTCATTCTTTAAAATTGTGCTTCCTGTACTACATCGATTGGAGCATTTTTAGGTAAGCATAATAGGTTTTTCAGTGATCTAAACTCTTACAATTCAATTCCAAGGTTGAAGCCACGGAAGTGTTTTTTTCGGTTACAAAGCTGTTTCAGTCCAAAGATACTGGGCTGCGAAGAATGGTATATCTGATGATAAAAGAGCTTTCTCCTTCTGCAGATGAGGTAACTTCGCACAACCTGTACCTCTGAATACTTCAACCCTACTATGGGTGAAGAATCAAATCTTATATTTGACTTTACAGGTTATCATTGTCACTAGCTCCCTTATGAAGGACATGAATAGCCGCACTGATATGTATCGAGCAAATGCTATTCGTGTACTTTGCCGAATTACTGATGGGACACTTTTGACCCAAATTGAGAGATACCTAAAACAGGCTATAGTTGACAAAAATCCTGTTGTTTCCAGTGCTGCCCTTGTGAGTGGTATTCATCTGCTACAGGTACTCCTTATTTTTGGAACAGCGATTTTTTTTTTTAAGTTGGAGGGAATGTGTCGGTGTTAATACTACTACACTTGTTGGAACAGACAAATCCAGAGATAGTCAAAAGATGGAGTAATGAAGTACAAGAAGCAGTTCAGTCTAGAGCTGCACTTGTACAATTCCATGCACTTGCCTTACTTCATCAGGTGAAATGTTTTACTGCTGGATAGTTTTTAGTCAAATGACTGATCATTATGAGTATGGTCAACTCTTTTTTGCTTATTTTATTGTCTTCCTAGAGATAGCCATTCTTAGAAACTTTAAATAAAGTATTATGGTGAAGCAGAATTGCATTATGCTAGTAATTGTTCTGAATATGAGGAGTTATTTCTTACTAATCATTTTTTGCCAATGTAAGGGGCTAAGGGCGGCTGTTTTCATATCCATTTAAGTATTTATCATCCAACACCCTGAAATTTTTTGTTATTAGGATTTATGGATATAGATGTTGAGTTTACCTGGTGTTGGAATTAAAATGGCTGGTATATTTGTAATGTTCCCATCTTTGATGGGGTTGGTACGGTGATTATTTTACCATGCGAGTGTCTTCTCCATAAAAGATGTTGGGTTTTTCTATTCTTCAAAATAGTGAGTTTTAAATACAGCAGGGATGCCACTTCTTGAATAGATGCTTCATTCGTATTTCTGACTGTCTTATCTTTTGTTGGAATCTTCCTTGTGCCTGTTGTTTCTCTATGGCATTGGTAATTTAGTACAATTGTGAAGGTTGAAGCGAACAGTAGTTCACACACTTTGGTGCATTTTATTCATTTGCTAATTTGGATAGCTATAAGTTCAAACAACTTAATTTTACCACATTGTTGCATATATCTTTTTTTTTTTTTAAAATGGTACTTCATGTAGTACCGCTTTTCTTCTGTAGAATCTAGACGTGGTTTGGTTGGGTTGAGCTTATATTTGTGACATTGCAGATACGGCAAAATGATAGGTTGGCTGTTAGCAAGCTGGTTACCAGCTTAACAAAGGGGAGTGTTCGGTCACCTTTAGCACAATGCCTTCTTGTTCGCTACACTTGTCAGGTAGTGTTATACTGTTATTAATTATCTGATTAAAGTTGACAAGTGACTTACCACTATTTTATAATTTTCTGTTGAGGTCAACAGATTAACTGTGGTTCTTTCAGTACTAATGTATTTTTTTGAGGTATGTAGGTTATCAGAGAGTCAGCTGTTAATAACCAAAGTAGCGACCGGCCATTTTATGACTATCTTGAGGGTTGTCTTCGTCACAAAGCTGAAATGGTCATCTTTGAAGCAGCCCGTGCCATCACAGAATTGAGCAATGTGACTACGAGAGAGCTAACACCTGCAATAACTGTATTACAACTTTTCTTAAGTTCATCAAAACCCGTGATTAGATTTGCTGCTGTCCGGACACTGAATAAGGTTGGTCTTCCAATTACAATGTGGTATATATTTTGCCATATCTATATGATTGATTATACATAGGTTATAATTTTATCTTGGTTTTACTTAATTTGCATTTGCAAATATTGATTTTACTATAGATTGTAAGAGTTATGTGCATATGAAAAAGAGATGTATGTAAGAAGTTTAAACTATCTTGTTTTGGAATGTTCTGAACATTATAATGACAGGTTTTTTAATGTTTGGCTGTGGTCCCTAATTCAATTAAAAATCAAGCAAACATAAAGAATGAGCGTTTCTGATATTTTTTTATGAGAACTTCAAAGATTTGTTTATTATTTGTCATGTGAGCTAGATATAGAAATTACTATCACGAACTATATGATTTTACAGTCTTTCCTTTGTGGAGGACTTGAATATGATGTCTGCTGATCTGAATTTTGTGCGAGAACAGCTTAACATTATAGTTGGTTCTGACCTACGATTCAGAAAATTATTGTGCAGAACGCTCCAAGCCATTTTGAAGCCATTGCTATGACATAGACAGAGATCACACAAGTTTCTTTTATGTGTTATTGATCATAATTTGCTTAATCGAATTGATGCTGGGATACTACTCAAATGCTAGCTTAAACTAGACTTAGGAACTAATCAAAGGTACTCATAGTCATGATGCATGCCGTAGTTTTTATCTGAAAATTTGATTACTATAGTGTGTCCTTAACTTCTTAGGACCCTGAGTCTTATGGTGAGCATTTCACAAACAGTAAGGGTAGGTGTTCTTGTGAAACTTGTGTCACTTATAGGATGTAATGAGGCCTCCTATTTGAGCCATTTATTTAATAAGGGATCTCACATTTTTTAGGTTTTGACTCCCTATAATCCATTTTCCTAATCCCTAGCAGTAGTCTTTCACATCAAGTCATTTTGTTTGTATTGATGTATTTCAATATCACAATGTCTGCAGGTAGCAATGACGCATCCAATGGCTGTAACCAATTGCAATATAGACATGGAGAGCTTGATCTCAGACCAGAATAGAAGTATAGCTACACTTGCCATCACCACTTTGTTGAAAACTGGAAATGAATCTAGTGTAGATCGCTTGATGAAGCAAATTACGAATTTTATGTCTGATATTGCTGATGAGTTCAAGATTGTCGTGGTAGAAGCTATAAGATCATTGTGCCTGAAGTTCCCTCTCAAGTTCAGATCTCTGTGAGTATTTTAAAGTTTTCCCTCGAAATAGTAGACCAACTTCCGTTAGTTGTCTTTTAATCATGATATTTCCCTTACATATTCTTTGAAAATAAATATCTTTCTGTGCTTTTGGATTACTGTCAGGATGAATTTCTTAAGCAGCATCTTGAGAGAAGAGGGTGGGTTTGAGTTCAAAAAGGCAATTGTTGATTCTATTGTGATATTAATTAGAGATATTCCGGATGCCAAAGAAGGTGGATTGCTGCACTTGTGCGAGTTCATTGAAGATTGTGAATTCACATATCTTTCCACCCAGGTTTTACTTTTATTTTTTCTTCGTACCATACTTTTAATCCTAGTCGTCCATGCTACTCTTCTTTGATGACTCCAATATCCCGCTAACTTGATGTCATTGTTTAATAATTGTTAGATTCTTCACTTTCTTGGAAATGAGGGCCCCAAGACCTCAGACCCTAGCAAATATATCAGGTATATTTACAATCGAGTAATACTTGAGAATGCTACTGTCCGGGCCAGTGCTGTCAGTACACTGGCAAAATTTGGTGCCATGGTTGATTCATTAAAGGTAACACTGAATCTCCTTTGACTTCATCTTAAAATTTGAGTTATTGTCTCGATAATATGTGTTCTGTGATGCAGCCTCGCATATTTATTTTGTTAAGGCGCTGTCTTTTTGACACTGATGATGAGGTCAGCTTCCATCAACCATAATAATATATATATATATCTTGCAGGAATTCCGTTTTTTGTTAAATCTCTTTCCACCTGTTTTTACTTCCACCATACAGGTGCGAGACAGAGCCACACTCTACTTGAAAAGCCTTGAACATGATTCAGTTGCTGAAACAGACAAAGATGTTAAAGAATTCTTGTTTGGCCCACTTGCTATCCCACTGACGAATATGGAAAACAGTTTGAAAAGCTACGTAAGTGTTCAGTCTTATTCCCATTAGTATATGTTTTCTTTAATGTTTTTCTGTTAGTGATCAGCTCGACACATTCATTCTATCCTTTACTCTTCTCAAACAGATACAAGATCCGAAAGAAGAGCCTTTTGACATCGATTCTGTACCCAAGGAGGTTAAATCTCTGCCCCCTTCAGAGAAGAAAGCACCCAGCAAAAAGCCAACTGGTTTGGGTGCAGCACCTCCTGCCCCCACCTCTGCTTCCGATGTTTATGAAAAACTTCTGTCTTCTATCCCAGAATTTGTGACATTTGGAAATCTATTCAAGGTTTGTGGATTAACATTACTGACCTGTAAAGTCCATCTGTGCTTGTTTATCTTATCAATGGGAATAACTAAGGATTTTTGTGGCAAACGATCAGTCATCAATGCCGGTGGAGCTTACAGAAGCAGAAACTGAGTATGCAGTAAATGTTGTCAAACACATATTTGATCGCCACGTGGTCTTCCAGTATAATTGCACCAATACAATACCGGAGCAGCTCCTTGAAAACGTAATGATTGTTCAGAACCATTTATACCTGATCTATTATGAGTCTTTGTTTTTAAAATTGTCTTTTGCTTCTTCTAGGTGACCGTCATTGTGGATGCTTCTGAAGCTGAGGAATTTTCTGAAGTTGCAGTAAAACCTTTGAAATCTCTTCCATATGACACATCAGTGCCGACATTTGTAGCATTTGAGAAACCTGATGGTGTCCCGGCAGTCGGAAAATTCTCAAACATATTGAGGTTTGCTGTTAAAGAGGTAATATTTTGAAGTTCAAACTATCATTTGTGGATGATTAGTCGTATGTCATCATGGTTTTGAAGATTGGCATGTCGATAACTCTATCAATTTATTGGTCGTAACTCTGCAAACCGGAAACTTCCCAAGCCTTGAGTAGGAATCGTTTCATTAGTTATGATTTTCTCCTGGAAGATTTCATGTGATTTCATTTTTTTCTTTTTGGCGACTGCTTGAATTTAATAGGTTGATCCCTCAACTGGTGAGGCTGAAGACGACGGTGTTGAAGATGAATACCAGCTCGAGGATTTCGAGGTCGTTGCTGCAGATTATATGCTTAAAGTTGGCGTCTCGAACTTTAAGAATGCTTGGGAAAGTTTGGATCCTGAAAGCGAGCGCGTAGACGAATATGGTCTCGGGCATAGGGAAAGCCTTGCTGAAGCCGTTAATGCAGTCATTAATCTTCTCGGCATGCACCCTTGTGAGGTTAGTTAACACTACTACACCCATTAATAGTAAATCATATATGGCTTCCCTAGGTTGTTAAATCACGAAAGTATATATATATATATACATACAGTACTCCCTCCGTCCCCGTCTTATCTACATTGTCTCACTTACCATTTAGAGTTGTCCCACTTAAATAGTCTTTTTCTATTTATAGTCTATTCGATTCCATCTATCGGTTCCACACAATTAACAATTTATCCTCACTCTTATTACTGTTTATCAAAATATCTGTCCCACATTATACACCCACTAAATCTAAGTGTATTTTAAATTTTTTAATCTTACACAAACATACTCACTAATAATATTGTTTTTATTTTTCAATCTACTGCAAAAAAAATCTTTTGAGACAATACATGTGGGAGGGAGGAAGTATTTCAATTTAGGCTTGTTGATAGCATGCGAAATTGACGGAATTCACTCTTTGTTATACTGTTCTCTTGGTCCTTACTCTTGTAGAAATTTAAATTTGAAGCTAAATTATAGTAATTTCGATCTCATGAGATGTGTTTTAACTATTGATGGAAATTATGGTGCTTTGTTTATGTTAGATCATTTAGCACTGTACAGATAATTTAGCGACAATATGTTGGTTGATTTTAGTATCCGAATATCTTGTGAGATTGAAACTGCATCGATTTGGCTTTCACGAAGAAATTCTAATAATTTGATTTGTAGCAATCTTGATGAGGTGGGATTCAAAATATGATAAGTTTTATGGCATTGATTGATATTTATTCGTTTTCCAGGGAACGGAAGTGGTGGGGAGCAACTCAAGATCGCACACATGTTTGTTGTCGGGGGTGTACATAGGAAACGTGAAGGTGCTTGTTCGTCTCTCATTTGGGATTGACGGGGCGAGAGATGTTGCCATGAAGTTAGCAGTGAGGTCGGAGGATGTGACAGTGAGCGACGCCATTCATGAGATTGTTGCCAGCGGGTAATATGAATATGAATATGAATATGAATGTCCCCTCCCATGTTTTAGGTTATTCTGATTCGATTTTTGCCTGTCTGTCTGCTGAGAAAATGCATACATACATATATATATGTAGAGGGAGAGAGGGGTTGACAGGGAAGTGTTGTTAGAATTTGGTAGAGAGAGAGAGAGAGGTGTTGTAGTTGTAATGAAGAAAATGGACCTCTGCCTTTGATTTTACATACATACATACATACATACTTCCAATCATTAACTTAGTTGTAATGAAGTAATGAAATTTAATCCTGGTAGAAAATGCACGTTGTTTTCAATGAATTAACCTATAATATTATCTTTTTCTTTTAGTTTTAGTTTTTTAAAATGAATAAATACATTTACTTACATTTTAAAGTTTTTATCTTTCATGTGTATATATTACCAAAATTTAGTAGTATTCGAAAATGCATTTGATTTGATGGGTTATGAAATAGATCTTTTAAATTGTTAAGAAAAAAGAGAGATTTGTGTTCGTTGAGTTGAAGTATCGATATTAGTATCATTGTTAAAGTAATTGAATGTGGAAAGATGTGTTTGTTTGGAGAATTAGTAGTATAATGTCTATAAATAAAATAAATATAAAATTAATTTTTAATATAAATATTTAATTTGATATTTAAAAGAAAAATAAAAATCTCATAAACAAATATATTACTCTAAAAAGATACTAAGATAAATATAATAATTAAAAGAAATGCTTTTATATACAAACTTATTTTTTATAAAATAATATTTATATTAAATATATTGTATTAAAATATTTTTAAAAATTATTAAATTAATTTAATTCATTATAATTATAATCAGTATAGTACTAATTAATTTTAAACTGTTTGCGCATGTATAATATGTAATCATTAACCAAACAAATTTTCAAGTTCTCATGGATACTTTCGACTCATTAGATTTGACTTGAAAATTTACTCAAAAACCCATCGGAACAATAACAACAAATCCATTAGATTTGACTGAAAAGTTTCTCAAAAATGCATTCGAAGAATAACAATCCAATGTAGTTAGTAGTTACATGATGACATAACAATGTCTACTACTCAAACTCACAGACTCAAATCATTCTTCTTATGGATTCATTGATTGCTTCACTATTACATTACTATTAGTATTTATTTATTACACACACAAAGAAAGATCAATGGAGGATAGGATAGGATAGGATATCAAAAAACAACAAGAAACCTTTTACCAGTCCATAAATCTTCTATCTATCTATATGTATTATATCTATGCACACTTATTCATTCTTACAGTACAACACAAAATCAAATCTCACCTCTACTGTACTCTACAGTGGCGCTTATCCGGCCGCCGCCGGGTAAACACATCCGCCGTAGCCTGCAAATAACAACATCATCGATCACGGTTACAATTACAATTACGATTAAATGAGAAGAAGAAGAAACAACAAAACTTACTGGGATTAACACTCGTGACGGTGGCCGTCTGCAGGAAGTCGCAGTTCCACGGATTCCCTCCCGCTGTTTGGTATAGCAGATTCATCGCATACGTCGCGTGGGATACCACCGTAGCCGGATCAAAGCACGCCCCTCCCGGCTGAATAGGACCGCAGTCTATCCCTTGCCCGCACGCGTAATCCAGATTTGCCTGCAATTGAACATCAGACACGCCTGCGCGCGGCACACACCAGCCTCCTGCTGTCGGAGGAACTACCGGAGGAGGAGGAGGAATAGTTGTTGTTGGACTTGTCGGGGCAGGAGTTTCTGGAATTGGCGCCGGAGTCTGAACTCGAAAGAATTAAGTTACGCATCGCAAAATAACCAAACCCAAACGAACATGGAAAGATAAGGCTCGAGAAACTCTCAATTAAGGTTAATCATATGTTTAGGTAAGAACATAATCGACACATGTAACAAATTTGAAGCTGCAATAAATGAACAACACAGTCGATCAAACAGTTCAAATGAACACCCTAACCAAACCGATATATGTAAGTTAAAGTCTTATTTTCAAGAAAATGAAATGTTCATACATACATACCTGTGTCTTTGCAAGGCCGACATCATAAGTCACGGCAAGATCAGGCTTAAAAAGTCCAAACGAGCGCTCAGAGCCCGGGCCAGGTTTCAGATTCTCGTCGTAGAGAGCAAACAGGTATGTATCGACAGACTTCCCCGGCATAAGTGGGGTGCCCACCTGTGACCTAAGGTGTTTTATCAAATTCCCGTTGTAGGCTCTTGCATTTTCGAAACTAGGACCAACTTCGTTCGGGTCCCCTCTATACGGCCACCCTGTCTCGGCTACCACAATCTCGACATCCTTATATCCAATTCGTTTCATTGCAGTGTGCACTGCATCAACCTAATCGGTCAAGAAAGAAGAAAACAATCAATCCTTTAAACAAACAACATCGCAAGCAAAAATCTTCTCATTTGCAAATCGGCATATGTACTCAAGAAATTGGAGATATTCCATTGAGATTCTGTGCAGATTCATAAGAACCAACTTCTTCTTATTTTTTTCCTTTATCTGTAGAAAGAGATCAATTTGCGATCAATGCCATTCTTGAACATGTGTAAAATCATTTCAGGCAAAATACAAATTATTTTCAAACAAATTAAGAGATACCGTCTTCAGATATAATAAGCCATAGAAAATCACCACATGATCAACAATATTCGGGATAAAATCGACTTCAAATATACCAATTATTGCCATGAATCCAGAATTCCAAGTTCATTTGCAACCAAAACATCTTCAGAAAAATTAACAGATACCATCTTCAGATATAACAAGTCATAGGAAATCACCATATGATCAACAATATTCAGGAAAGATATCGAATTCTAATCTATCAATTATTGCCGTCAATCCGAAATTCCAAGTTCATTTGCAATCAAAACTGTGAGAATCTTACCTGTGCATCAAACATGTTCATGTATCTGATCCCTGTTCCTGAATCGACTCGTCCGGCATTCGGCTGCAACAAACAGAATGCCAAAGTTTCGGGCCTCGGATCACTCTGGTATGCAAAGAAAGGGTATGGATTGATCATTAAAGGCGAGGCATTCTCGCTGAGGAATTGTAGCAATGCTCTAATGGTGTCTCCGTAGCCGAATGCCCCCGTCGAGGGCGGGTCCGATTGACTCAAAATCGCCATGGAATGGACTGTGGACACCTTCACTTTCCCTCCCAATGATGCTGAAATTTCCATTCATCAATCAAAACAATTCTCAGACGCGAAATGATAAAGTAATCATCACTTTGAGATGTGAAATGGTATATTGCATAATCAGATGTGCGAGGAAATCCTAAGTAAGTTTCTATTATGCATTGCGACTTCCAAACTAGGGCAAATTTTCATTCATAATCATAGTTGTGACCTGAAGGAAGAAATTCAAGGAAAAGAGGAAGAACTCCGACGGTTACCGGCGTTAATGGCGTTCTGAACATTCTGCATAGCAGGTAAGAGCTGCGTGACGAGATTCTGGTCCGGCGACGTGACGACCTCGTTTCCGACGCTGACGATGATGATCTTGCTGGCCGGATAGAAGGCGACGACGTTAGAATTCACCCAAACAACGGCGAAATTAGGGTCGGTGGCAAGCGCGGGGATGTCGCCGTCGGAAGCACCGATGACGATTCCGATGCCGGTGTTGGCTAGCGCCTTAATGATCGCAGGATCGGCGCCGTAGAGGCGCACTTTCTCGATGCTGGTAGACTGCAAGAGCTTCGCAGTTGCCTCCGCCGGCGGCAAGTTGTTCGCCACTTCACCGTAATTAACTCCGACGAAAGGCTGCGAATCTATAAAAAAAAAAAAAAAAAAAAAAAAAAAAAAAAAAAAAAAAGAACCAACAAAAAGCCTGTTTATTTAGAAAACGCGATTTTAAATAAATAAAGCTAAAAGCGTTATTGCGAAGTGTGGAAGTTTGAGAAGCAGAAAAAGAAAAAGGGTAAAACGGTGGCTGGCTTTTTCTTCCTGTTTCTGGGTTTCATTCTCAGATTCTTCTTTCTTTTCCATTAAAACAAACCCCAAAAGTAAAGAAATCTTGAAAAAGTACCAAAATGGAAAGCAGCAATATTATAATTAATAATAATGAAAAAAAGACTTACGGGCAGTGTGGGGAAGGAGAAGGAGAGAGCAAAGAAGAATCAAGAATGGAGAGGAGATTCTGCGTGTGAATGGAGGAGCCATGGCCGTACGATTGCGATGAAGAAGAATCAACAACGTCGATAATCAGAGAGAGTGAGTCACTGTAGAGAGAGAGAGAGAGAGCAACGGTAAAAGAATGAAAGTGGGGTGGGGATCTACTACAGATATAGATATATATATACATATATGGTAATGGTGATGAAGATGAAGAAGATGGAGGAGAGAGAGTGAACTGGAAATATGGCAGTGTGGGGTGTGGGGGGCCGGTGACGGCTACGGGGGCGGGTGGGAGCGGCGTGGGTATGTAATATGTATATGTATATGTATATGTACATTATTATATGAATTATTTGGTAGTTTCTACTTGTACTTCTATCTGCTCTCGCACTGTTAGGTTTGTTTATTTGTTTTTGTTGTATGCCTGTAATTTTAAAAATGAAAATAATAATAATAATAATAATAATTTTATTGAAATTAAAATTAATTAATTTGGATTCTATTATAAATAATTTAAATTATTTTTATGATATCTTTACAAAAATAATTATCATTGCTGACATGAACTTCATGTAGCATAAGATATCAACAAAATATGAACATATACATATAGGGTGTGTTGACGGGGTTTGGATTTTGAATTGGGATTTGAATAGTAAAAATTTTGAATTTGAATAGTTGCATGATGTCGTATAAATAGGTGTTGATGTGATGTTTTGAATGTAAAATTGATTTTTAGTATAATATTAAAGATAAAAAATAGGTGTTTGATTTGATATTTTTGAAAAAAAAATGGATGAATAGTAAAAATTAAATCCAATCCCCAAACAAACACACCCATAATTGATTTTGAAACATCATCGAAAATACTGCCCTGTATCCTTTCATATAAAATTTTAAATTATTCATTTAAATATTTATTTATTATTAGAAAAACACTCCCGGTTTGTGCCACTAACCGAGTGTTTTGGAAGTTTGAAAAAAAAAAAAATCAATAAATGATACTGACAGTGAAAGCTGTAGAAATTTTAGAGTTTGAAAATAAATCAGCAAATGTTGAAAATTAAATTTTGGCTTTAAATCCAAATTCTTCTAAAAAGAAAAAAATAATAAAATTGTGTCTCTGTATTTATTTTTACTGTTTTTTGTGTCCATTTTTTTTTTTTTTCGATTCAATAAGAGTATTTAAAATTTAATGTTTCAATTAATTATAAATTTTTATTATTAAACACAACAATTGATTTAACCTAGACCAATTTATATGAGAGTAAAAATATTTAGAGAAGTTAGTAAAACTATTTACTAATTAAAAAAGGTGTTGAAATAAGCGATTAATATTACTTCATGCGTCAGTCAAATTTATTCTCATTTTTTCTTTTTAGTTGGTCCACTAATTTTATTTCATTGTTAATTTTGGCAAAATCAACAAATCAACATTTAATTATTACCTCCATTCAACACTTATTTACACAAATACTACTAACTTTATTACATTTTTTCTTTTCATTTATTTTACTTTGTAACTAAATTTCCAAAAATATCCTTAACTATCTATCATTTTTTCAATAAAATATATTTTTTTTAAATTTACGTGTCGAGTCCAAATTGGCTAATTTTAATGGACGGAGAAAGTATATATAAATATATATATAATTATTTTGTAGTAATGAATAATTGAATTATTTAATATTGACTTCAATTAGAGCATCACAATCTCATTGACCTCTAACTAGTTTTGGTTCATTCTTTTAAAACATGTTAATTATTATTGAAATGAACTTTAGATTGACTCAATTTTGTAGGTCCAATGTTGTTGGATAAAAAAGTTCACTCTGGGTGGGTCGTGTATAATATTTTCTAAGGTATAAACATTAAAATTAAATAAATATATGACATAATACTTTTCTAAAAATATTTGAAAGTGTTCAGTCTCGTTATTGCCGGGATGTCCAAATGACGATTCCCTCTGTCTCTTAACAACAATACCATTTTCTATCTCATAATTTTACAATTTTTAATTTAGTAATTGCATTGTTTATCTAACATAATTAATATCATTACAATTTTTAATATATTACACAAATATCATTACAATTTTTAATATATTACACAAATATCATTACTTTTATATCATACAATCTAGCAATGATATTTTTGTTATTTTAATATAAATCAATATAACACTAATATTAAAAAACAATGTATAAAAATTAAATATTACTAATAAATATATACTAAACATATATATTTAAAAAGTAAATATATATTTTTGTGTAGACTTATGGTCTTACATAAACATATACGTAGTATTAAGTAGGATAATTTAGAACTTTTAGCACAGGTTTTTAAGGTGGATAGTATTAAATATAATAATTTAGAAATTAGGTTATGTGATGGAGAGAAAAATATATATTTTATTTTTTTATTTGGATGATTTGAGAGAATAAAATGTGAGGGTTTAGGGTTTATATCTCACACATACAGTGAAACATTTGATTTTCGAAACAAAAATTTGAGAAAATCGTATTAAATAGAATAAATTAAAAATTAGTGATACAATGAGAATATATATATATATATATACATATATAACCTTTTTTTTTATTTTAAAAATATTACAAATACCGTCAAACATACCAAAATAAAATACTAAAGTATATGAGACAGTAGAAGATTTATCAATATGCAGTCAATAGAATTCATGGCATACCAACCAACCAATTCATTTGCCTAAAAACACATCGCAAATTCAAGCTAGGGGTCTCTCTCTCTCTGCGCACATTAACAACAGCAGCCAAATACAACTCCTCCCAAAAAAAACACAGCATCACCATCAATTTATCAAACATCATATATGTATTGATTGTGCAAATAAATGAAAGAACAAGAACAATCCCAACCTGGCCACGCACACAGCACATATGAAAATCTGACCTCTGGTTTAGGCTCCCGAGTGGGACACCGGAGTCGTCACAAATTGCCCGTCCTTGAATGCGTGAATATATTGTTGAGGCAAAGCATGCTCCACCTGCACCAATGCACATTGCATCCTGCTCTGTCAAATCTATCGCGCATTTGCATGAAATGTAAAAAATTTCAGAAAGACATACCCAATCGCCGTCTGGATCAGAGCCGGGCACCAAAACATTGGTTTCACTCGATTTTGCTGTTGTTATAGAAGTAGCAAGAGAATCTTTGCTCAAGTACAACTGGCAGCCCGATGTATTGTCTACCGATATTGTAGGAGCTGAGCCCTGAACAAGGCCAAATTTTCCGGAAAGAATAAGTATTAACATCACTTGACTAAATACTGACGATGACTAGAAACTTTTAGTCGACAGTTGTGATTTTTATCGTTACCTGACACTGCACCTCCACGCCATTGCAATTGACAATCTCACAAGCAGCCACAACATCCTAGTCCCCAAATTATGAATTTAAGAAAAATATGTGTTGACCGTTCGGAAAATGGGTTTAAAGATTTTAAAAATGATATCTTCACTAACCTTGAATACAACACCCATTTTTGTGCACTTGTCAACAGTTATGTTGTTTACCTTTCCTGTGCTCGCCATAAAATTTCCAATTAGCTCGTGATTAGCTTCGGAAAAGATTTTATGTTTCTTTTGATAGATGTATATAAATTACACTGTAACAAAAAGCAGAAGATATTACCTTGGATCTGTAGAACAGAGTTTTTGCATCCGTAGACATAAACAGACTGTTTTGCATCACAGTCGTCAATTACTAAATTGCTTCTTCCAATTTGATTCTCAACCACCCATCTGTACACATTACGGCACTATGTTGACAAAAAACTGAAAAGAAACATATAAGATTTGTCGTTAAGCACAATGTTTTACCCACTTGCGGCCCATTTGAAGTTCCAATTTAGGAGGTCCTGCCTTTGAGAAAGCAGGTGAAGCAGCCCGGCCTTCTTTCTCAGAGAGTGTAACGACACCACTTCTGTCAGCACGATTCTTGGTTTTCATATCATCAGTAACCTTTCTCAAGCCTTGATTTTAGAACAAAACATACAAACAAATTATATCTTTTAAAAATCATCTGCAGCATACATGTAAGAAATTTAAGGTTGGATATTTACCAGAAGTAACAGGCTTTCCAGAATTAATTTCCTGGAAAACAGCAGACATCCCTTCCTTTGGGCGTGATGAGGATGGTTGACTTGTTTCAGAAGTGAAAAGTGATGCAGGTGGAGGCGGGGGAGGAGCGGGAGCAGCTGGAGCAGGAGCTTTGGCTGGGGCTGGGGCTGCTTTCTTCCCTGTCATACTCCATACAGGACCGAGTGGGTAATGACTCTTGACATAATCCCGCAAACCCGGTATATAGAGCTCTTTCAAAGCCTTTGCCCACTCAACATGATTAGCATCTTTGTTTCTGTACTCCACAAGAATCTACATCATAAGCAAAATACATCAGAACTTACACACTAAGTGATGAAGTAGATAAAGCAAAACCAAATTCTATTTTTGAGTTGGCAAGGCACCAAAAATCAAGTATTATACGATCTCAACTTAGCAATGGAAAGATGGTGGGGACATAAAACAGCAATGGCATCAAAGCCATGTTACTATGCATACATAAACGTCTTAAGGAAACGTGGAGCAAGAGAAAATTCAGTGTTCTCAATCTGGTTATAATTTTCAGTAAGTCCAAACATTTCGATTGCCCTAGTCTGGTTTTACCTACCAATCAGTTCTATGCTATTCCCTCGATTAGAGTCCCCATGGTTCCTTGGGTTTTAATTTGATATCGCTAATTATTTATAATGTAACCCTTTCTTTCCAGGAAAAGATTAAATAAATATACAAAGGAGTCCGCACTCATATGGACCTTCCATACTCAACTGCATGCTCATAGTTTATCTAATATCCAGGACTTAAAGTTTCAATATAATCAAGTAACTCTGACTATTTAGATAAATATAAACTTTCAATCTTCAAAATTTTACATGTTTTCATAAATTCATGCTGCTTGAGAACTTTTTTGGGTGGAATTTAGCAAAAAATGCGTAGGAATCAATCAAATGAAGTGATCTAGCAGTCTCAACTCTTGGCTTCTTATACGGAGTAGCTCAACAGGGTAAATTAGAACAGACAACTTGGAAAGATCATGAATTCTACTCTAGTTATAGAACTTTTCCTTTTATGCCAGCAGAGACCAACGTCGTAATTACAAATTTCCAGTAAGTTAGAATTCACAAGTAAAACAATTTTAATTGACAATTAAGCATTACACATCAAATTCACTTCCCAATACTATTCATTTAATTTATTTGTCAGATCCTCTAGAATGTTGCTGTTAAGAATATGTGTAATCACTAATCAGAAAAATAGAATTCCTACAACTTCAAATCCATGGGAAACTAAGACCAGCACGAGTGCAAAAACCAATAGTCACGTCAGCCTAAACGATGAGTTCCATCCTCCCTATCTTCTGCCATTTTATAGGCAGTAGACAGGTCTCAGCATTGGAGGTTCAAAACTAATACCTTGTTACAATAGAACTCTGCCATTTGCCAACTTTCTTCAACATGTGCAATAGGCATGCTCATACCTATAAAAGGAGTGCGGCTTAAACATAATATCTGAAAAGGAAACAAACAGTAAATTGAATCACTATTTGTAAATTTTCTTACCACAATCTTTTCCTGTATAAGCAATCCATGCCAAAGCAGACAGACTATCAGCACCAGTTTTCAAGTGATGGAAATAATCAGATCGCCTTCCTTCACTCAATGCCGAAGCCTTCGCCATCACTTCATTCAATGGCTTTAGGAACTCCACCAACCCTGCCATATCAGGTTTCTGCAAAGAGAGCACGAGCAAGCTGAGGTTCATAGGACACATCACACATACATATATATACATATATAAGAAGAGAGAAATTGGAGGTCAGGCATATCAAGCAACAAGCTTCATGTGTAATATAAGAGCATCTCACATAAGGGTTTCGTTACACTTTTTTTACCATCTCCAAGCATCATACCTTAAACACTAAATTAAATCAAACAAGATTTGACTGATTGAAAGTATAATCCTTACAGCAACCATTTCTACAGCACACTCTATAAAGTAAATGCTCACCAATAAGGAAGGCCGTTGTGCTGGTAATAGGACATAGTTGGCCCCAAATTATTAATAAGATGAAAACAAAAAGAGGGTGTGTTTGTTTGTGTTTTTCAATTCATGTCAATATTACTTTCTTCAGTCAACTAATTTTTCCCCCGAAAATCATCACAACAAAAACTATTTAACATGTAAAACATCACATCAAAACATATTTTTGGGTCAAAACATCAAGTCCAAAATCTATTTTTCATTAATAGCGTCTCAAATAGTGGTTTTTTCATTTAAAACATAGTACCAACAACATACTTTCAATTCAAAATATTATAAACCCAAAAAATTACTTTCCATTCAAAAATTTTCAAATCAAGACACCCAAAACACAAACAAACAAGACTCATTTCTGTTTCCCGATATTTGTGTGCACATTGTGGAATGCTCCTAAAAATAGATTCCGCATTCAAAGTCATCCAACAGTTTATAATATGAATCACCAATAAATCTTTATCTATTCAAATCAACATGATACAACATAAATGGATTCGGAATATTCATAACCAGTTCTCAGAAAAACAATAAAATTGATGAAATAATAAGCCCAGTGGTATTCCAAAAATCCGCAACAATCCACACAAGTAATTCATATCGACACCAAACTAATATTACCCTAATTACCTCCATCCTCTAGAACAACATTACACCAGAAGCAACAACACTGGCAACGGACGAGCAAAGCTCAAATATCATCAAAGAGCTACAACTAACCTGAGTTTCCTTGACTTTAACCAGCAGCTCCTTCTGCACAGAAAACGCTTCAGCAATAATCTTGGACACATCCAGAACCTGTCCTCCAATCTTCTCCCCAGCGGTAGTAACTCTTTGTACGTACTCCGAAATCAGATCTTCAAACGCGACAATGGAAGGATCCGCCGCCGTCGCATCGCCGCCGTCTCCCTGGCGAAATCCTCCGGCGGACAGCGCCTCCAACCGCGCAACCGCGGATTCCAACCTCTTGACCAAATTCTCATCCATCCTTGCTCGATCAAGTTAGGGATAGACGATTTGGGCACCACAGATCTGTGTGCTCACGAAAATTTGGAGTATTAATGGAGGATTTCTTTTTGGCCCTCTCTTCTCTGCCGCCGAAAGGTGAATGGACGGTCTGGTCTAACTGTAAATGTTTTCTTCATTTCGGATTTTTCTTTACAGGGGTGGAGGGAATATGGCTTTCCACGTGGCCATGTATGATTGGTTGGAGTGAAATAATAAAACAATATTCAGGCTTCAATTATTAAAATAAAAAAAAAAAAAAAGCCACGCTGTTATTGACTAAGGGCGTGTTTGTTTGAGAGATTTGTTTGGATTTTCACTATTCATCTTATTTTTTTTTTTCAAAAACATCAAATCAAACACATATTTTTTATTTTTTATATTATACTAAAAATCAATTTTACATTTAAAACATCACATCAACACCTATTTATATCACATCATACAACTATTCAAATTCAAAATTTTTACTATTCAAATTTCAATCCAAAATCCAAACCCCCGAACAAACACCAAACAAGGGTTTTAGAGTTGTGAATTTTTACAAAATTTCGTTTAGGCAAAAAAAAATTATTTTAGAGTGTGTTTGTTTGGGGGATTGGATTGGATTTATATTATTCATCCAATTTTTTTTTCTCTCAAAAATATCAAATCAAACATCTATTTTTTATTTTTTATATTATACTAAAAATCAATGTTTACGTTCAAAACATCACATCATACAATTATTCAAATTAAAAATTTTTACTATTTAAATCCCAACTCAAAATCCAAACCCTCAAACAAATACACTCTAAATATTAGCTATAATATAGGTTTGGTTGTCTATATACTTGTTCATTTTAATATTTTTTTAAGAGTATATTTTTCTAAAAAAATTAATACGCTACATACATTTATTATTTTTATTTATTCTATAAAATTATCTATGCACATAACATACCCATCTTTTTATAAAAAATTAATATTTTATTATTTTTTTAAAAAACAAATTACTTAATTTCATTTTAATTTTTAAATATATATATAGTAATTTAATTAGACTAACTAATTATTTTAATTTTAATTTATACATATTTATTATATTAATTATATTCATTCTAAGTTCTTATATTTACAATAAAATAGACACTATAGTTGGAGAAAATATTTTTTTCTTTTATTAACAACAGAATTTTGATATTTCACATAAAAAAAAAAAAATCAAATCAAAAAATTAAATAAAATTAATATTGTATTTTTTTGAATTATTATTAGTTTTGGCTCAAGTTTCCTATATTTATATACTTGTTGGACATTTATCGAAAAGCTACTCATCATAAACAAGTTTTCAAAAGATCAAGCCTCTATTTACATAACACATTTTCAATCTTTCAATTATTTGCAATTATTTATTTTTTAAAAAATATCATATTAAATATATTTTTTCTCTCTCTGAATTATAGAGAATTGTCATTTACTAGTATGTAATCACTATAAGAACAAACACACATACATTATCCAAAATTCAAATTTTATCATTTTATTTTCTAAATAATTTATTAGTAGATTGTATCCATTACTTTTAAATTTTCGTTGTCTCATTTTATCATATACTATTATTTTATCTTTTCATACATATTTTTATTTGTTTTTTAATAGATTTTATACAAATTCGTCGGATTTAGCCCTAAAGATTCGAAATGGTGTAGAGAAAGGCTTGGATGTCACCGATATTTATTACAATATTTTTATTTACCATTTTTATCAGTACCAAAAAAAATAGTATTTTTTTCATAAATAACCCTATCACCATAAAATTACTTTTAATTTTTCATTTTTATTACACAATTGCTACTACTTTTTACACTAAAACACTCACAAGGCAAAAAAAAAGTCTTTTATACATACATTTTACCTATTATCATTATAATATCAAAATTCCTTAAATCTGTTTCAACCCAATTGAGTATGTTTTAGTAAAAATATACTCTTTTATTTCCATATTGGATGAAACATTTGATATCTCAAGAATATTTAGGTAGGTATTTAAGTAGAACAAAGTGATAATTAAGTTATACGATTAGATATAACTGCATATTTATTTAAGTAACGTGACAAAATAAAATGTAATTAATTATTTTATATTTTTGAAATATTATATGATAGGTGAAATAAATCAAAATAGAAATTTTTGCAAATATATAAGAGAAACAAAATATGTGTTTATTTTGTGAAATATATTAAAAGAATTTTTTTTTATATCAATAATAAATAATTATATAGTTAATATAAAAATAATGAATTATATAAAATATTATATTTTTAAAAAATGTATTCCCTTCATCCCACCACAATTGATCACTATTTTCATTTTTGTGTGTCCAGTAATAATTGACACATTTATATTTTTGGTAAAAATTATTAAATCAAAATGTATTTAACAAATATAAACCAATTTAATTACCTACGTAACATATATTATTATAAATGACGTGGAACTCACTCAAAACTATTTATTTATATTTCTCTTAAAAAAATATTTTGATTTATATATAAAACGATATATCTTTTATAAAATTTATTTATGTTAATTATAAATAAACAAAAATATTTTTTTATTTATTTGTATATTAAAAAATTTTATTTTTTACAAAATAATATCTATATTACATATATTTTTTAATTTCTATATAATTTTAAATATTTAAACATATATTTTAATATTTTTAGTTATATATATTAATTTTACTTTAAAATTATAAATATTATTAATTATATAAAATATAAATATAATATTATAATATGTTATTATTAATTAATTAAATATTTTTATCTAAAATATGGTATCCTAATTAAAGGATTTAATTCCGATTGAACGGGGAAGTGTGTAGAAGTATTTTCTTTTTTTTAAAAAAAAAAATGTAAAAGAACGCACCGATCATTTTTTCCAAAATGTTTTGTATAAAATAAAATGAATTAAAAAAAATAAAAAATAAAATACAGAACTCACCCTTCCGTATAATGCTTGCCTATCTGCCAGCCAGCACATTTCATTTCTGCCTGCGATCCCTAATTCCGATTTCCCCCCCGATTTTATCGCCACCGCACCATGGCCACCGCCGGCGGCACACTCAAGAAGAAGCAGCGCGTCGGCAGCAGTGGCCGCCTGTCGTCCCTTCTCGATTCCGCCTCTTTCCCTGACGCAACCCTACCGGATGGCGCACACAAACCGCCCAGCCTCCGCCGCTCCTCCTCCCGTACGATCCTCCTCCCCGTTGTATCCTCCTGCCCCGGAGGATTCAACGATTCGGCCACCGGCGATGTCGTTCTTCGCCTCTTCCTCGATCAATGGTGCGAAATGTCCGACTCGCCGACTTCGCCGCAGGATCAGTCCGAAATGCAGGTATATCTTCATTCGCATGCTCTCCGTCGCTCAAATTACTTTACAGCGCTCCTATCCGATCGATGGCAACAGCAAGAGCAGCAGCAGCAGAGCGAGTCGTCTTCAAGTAATCCTGAAAATGCTCCCAAGATTTACCGTTTTGAGCTTAGTGTTCCTTCCGATAATGATTCGATAAACAACTATTTAAAGGTTCTGCAACTTCTGTACTCAGACGATTTGATGTCTTCGATTGATTCCGTATCTACTGCTCTTGCTTTACTTCCAATCGCGCTCGAATTTCTATTCGAGGATTGCGTCAAGGTTTGTCTTAGATTCCTGGAGGCAGTTCCTTGGACGGATGAAGAAGAAAACAAGGTACTAAATCTGATTCCATTTTTGAGGAAGGAAGAGTCAAAAGAGCTCCTCACTAGGGTTTCGCCACTAAAAAACGATTCATCTGATGAAATGCTTCACGGTCTAATCCAATCCGCAATTCACAACCATCCAAACATGGCTTTTGCAAAGGCATTTGTGGCAAAGCTGCTGAGGGATTTTTCTTCGAGGGATTCAGCTAGGAGGGTTTTGGAAAAGGTGTTTGAGAAGAGTTTAAGGGTTGTGAGGCAGGCATTGGAGGAGTACACGAGTCCGGTTTTCAGGGTCGATCAGAATGAGACCGAGGCCCTGCAGAGGTTGAATCTGCACACAGCGATGACTAATTTGAAGCACTTACTGTGGTTGGTGGAGAGGATGATTGAGCTAAAAGTTGCTGATACAGCTGTCCAGGCCTGGAGTGAGCAGGCTTCGCTTGCCGCAGATTTTCAGAGAGCGCTTCGGGATGATGCATGGAGAAATATCGTTCCAAGTCTTCCTACTGTTGTGCTTCGCTGCACGAGCAGGCTTGCAAATGCCGTTGCTACAGGGAATGTGGTAGCTAGTAGACAGGTTTGCCTTAAAACAGTTTGTTCATGTTTGCTGATATCTTCGATTATATTACAGTTCCTGCCCAATTGAGCTTTGAATGGATTGCGTTGCCTTAATGTATGATTTTGTATCTATCTGCTTTCAATTTTGGGACTAGACAACTAACATTTTGACTAGATCGATACTGACAAGCAACTTAAGAATCGTTCTCGCCCATCGCCAGTTGATTATTGCTAGGCAGTAATGAGTAACCGGATACTAGTTCCTTAAAATATAAGAATTATTGTCATTTGTTGATTGCGTTGCTTTAATGTATGATTTTGTATCTATCTGCTTTCACTTTTGGGACTAGACAACTAACATTTTGACGACATCGATACTGACAGGCAACTTAAGATTCATTCTCGATAATTGCCAGTTGTTTCAATTATAGCTAGGCAGTTATGAGTAACAAGATACTAGTTCCTTAAAAAAAGAGAGTTAGTCATTTTTTGATTGCGATGCTTTAATGCATGAATTTGTATCTATCTGCTTTCACTTTTGGGACTTGGCAACTAACATTTTGACTACATCGATACTGACAAGCAACTTAAGATTCACTATCACCTATCACCAGTTGTTCGATTACAGCTAGGCAGTTATGAGCAACAGGAGACTAGTTCCTTAAAAAAACAGTTGTCATTTTTTGACTGCTTGCACCTATCTGTTTGGTTATACTCAGGTTTCTTTTACTACAGTGTGGCGCATCCCTTCATTATTGCATGATATAAAACCCTTCATTTGGCACTTTGCGTACCACATTGAAGAGCAACGTTTCTATTCTCGGAGAAAGTGGTCGTATTATGCTTTTCTTTCCTTTTCGCTGCCCTGAAGAAAATTCTAGATTCTGTTGCAAAGGGCTTTGAGTTCTCTGTCCGTGGTGGCTGATTCTGTTTCCACTTGCTTCCCTCCCCCTTTTCTTTTATGTGTTTTTGGAAATGTGTGTGAGGTTTTTTGAGTGTTTAATTGGTTCTCACTTTTTCGGTCTGCATATGTTTACACTACTTGCTTACATTTTTATTATATCTTTCATTTTTGAAAGTATTCTGCATTTTTTGTGTTCGAACCATATTTAAGTATTACCAGTTTTTCCTGTGATTAGTCTGTCTCTACTATCTATTATGACCGAGCCAGATTTGTCAAAAAAGTCTATTTTCTACTAACAATGCAATTATCTATCATATAGTATGCTCTTTTAACTCTTTTAACTTTTTCCTCCGGGTGGCATTCGCTATATACTACCATGGTTTCTATAACATAACTGACCAGTATCTTCTTCTTCTTCTTCTTCTTCTTCTTCTTAGCATGTGATGTAGATGCATATGCTGGTATCTTCTAATATAGGTGTGTGAAATACAGTACTGAATCATATTTGTGTCGCTTTGATTCTATATAAAATGGAAGGTTTGGTTTTCGTTAGGATTTGATGATTTGGAAATGCTACCTGCCGAAATGCTGTTGAGCTTGAGAACAATGAAAGGTTTTGTGTAGCTTAAGTATGGAAAATGAGAGTGTTCACTAAACATCTTCTTATAGACAGTGTTTACGAGAATCAAATATGATTTCGAGGATGAATTTTGCTATGCCAATGGCATTGAAGGTCACTATAGAGTTAGGAACTCAATTAACAATTTAAGTCAGTACGTTGTAATTTCTACGTGGTAAAGTACTCTTGAAATGTTCACAGCATTTACCTTTTTACGGGGTAGCATATAAGGTGGTTCTGTGAATAAAAGTAAAAAAAATCGAATTTTAACTCTAAAGAGAGTACTGATTAAATATGCTAATCAGTCCCATCCATGGGGTTTAGAAAAGTAATGGATCGAGTCGGGTTTTAGGTTCTCCCTATAAGAAAGAACAGTATGTGTTATTACCCTGTTTTTTGTTTTTTTGTCAGCAATTTATTCCGTCCTAAAAATGGCATCCTTACATTGATTTACATTCATCTGACTGTTTTAATACATCTACTGTCCGCATGCTTTATGCAACAGGTCAGAACGAAGCTCGTAAGAGATTGGCTTCCAATGTTGATTATATGCAAAGAGCGCGGCTCCCTCATGGGCCCAGCCCACAAGTTGTCATCGTCGCCCTACATTGAGCTGGAAGAGACCTTCCTGAGAATCATATCGACACTTCCTTTGTCTGAATCCCAGGGCTTATTGCAGCAGTGTCTCTCCTTATCAACCCGCAACGTCGACGACTGCCCTCACTTGGTCGCCGCCTTCACCACATGGTTTCGCCGCGCAAACCGCCCCCCACAGCCCGACTCTCTTCAGTAACCACCCACCCCACCCCATCCCTGGTTGATAATGTAAGGATTGTACAACAAAAGTTAGGAGTTTGCGACGAATATGGTGGATGGAGTTCATTATGTATAAAGCCTCGAGAACCTCCTGTAGATAACTTTCGCATCAATAATCTTAAAATCTCGGCTGTAAAAGCAACGCTAAGCGCGCCGGCAGGCAGGCAGGTATTTGCTACATTTTTCTGCACTTTTATTTGCCTGTGATTTCATGTTCTTGTTTGTGTGAGTTAGAGAAAGTATGTAAGAAAAATTTGATAGATTGTGTGTGTATATATATTTATATATTTGTGGGTGAAAGTATATAAGAAAATTTTGATAGATTTTGTATTTGTATATATAAATATTTTTGTTGTATTTAATAGTATTAAAAATATATATTTTTCATAAACGTCAATTTATTAGTATTATAAGATAGAATGTTTTGTGTCAAATTTTTTTATTTATACTATATTTTGATATAATAATTAATATTAAAAAATAATGTAAACTCTCAAACAAATGCAACTAGTCCACTATATATTAGTTGGAATAATTTTTTATAAATATTATTAAAAATATATAATATATGCCCATCAACACAAATATATATATTTTTTATTTTACTTGCAAAAAATCAAATTTTACATTTAAAAATATTTATAATATATAATATGATCAAACTGCTAAAAAGATAAATGCATAGCTTGTGATTCTCATGAAGAATTTATTTAATCTTTGAATTAGATTTTTTATTTTAATTTTAATTTAAATAATATGTTTGATAAAATACATTTTCTATTAAAAAAAACATTACTATATTTTATAAAAAAATCGTACACACTAAATAATAATATTATTAAAATAAAAAATAATAGTATCGTTATGGAAAACATCAATAAAAATATATTATTTTTTTATAAAATAAAAAATTATTAAAACAAAGTTCAATTTCAAATCAAACCTATTAATTAAATATCACTAAATTAATAAATCAGTACAGTTTATATGTAAATTAGTGTGTATTTTGAAATCTCTTTTTAATTTTTTATAGTTTTTTAACCGTTGAACTTTTATTTTTAATAAAAATTATTATTTACATTAAAGTATAGTTTTTTTAGAAAAAAAAAATTCAAAATGAAGTTTTCTTTTTATGTTTTTTTTTTTTAATTTTATTTGTGCTTTTATTTTTTAAAAAATTTGAAGTAATAATAATCCCTTTCTTTAATGTTTTACTACGTAAGTAAATGTTTTTAAATATGAAAAATAAAAGAATAAAAATAGCATAAAACAAAAAATAAAAACGAACCCAACTCCAACGTCTCCATCTCGCCTTCTTATAGTCTAGACATTTTCACATTGCTACATATTGGGTCGGGTTAGACCTAGTACGGTCGGTTCGGGTCGGACCTAGTCAGTCCGGGTCACTGCGTCATACATAAACCCCAAGTGGGTATTTGACTGTTAGCCATTTGGACCCGGCGCATATCAGGTGTCTTTCTCTCTCACACACAAGCACGCACCCGCGCGAGCTCGCCGGAGAAGCCGCAGTTCTACATCTTTCAGTCATCTTGTCGGGGGAGATTATTTACGTAAGGTTTTTGAACGAATCAGTGGAGTTAGTATGAAGTTCTTCTTAAATTTTTGCCTATAAGCTGTTCGACGAAATGTCTGAAAGATTGTGTGTGTAGTGTGCGTTTATGTGTATTATTCTAATATGCAATTACTCCTGTTTTGTCTCTATGTCTATCTAATCGATGATGTTGAGCGTTTTTGCAATTGTTATTCCTTATTTGGGAATTTTGATTTTTTTAGGGCAGGCTCTCTTTGGTTTTTGTGTATTGAACAAGACGATGAATACCGGGGGGGCAAGTTTGTTTAGAAGATTAAGCATTAGGGATCTGATTGCGGACACACCTGTTTATACCTCTGCTACTGGTCAGGGAGTTCGCTTATGCTTAATGTTTGGTCATTTTATTTTGTAGAGAAATTTGTTTGTGTTCATATTTTGTTGATTTTACAGATGCATTTGGACAAGGATTGAGCTTGGTGTTCAGGCGATGGGCTACCAAAAAAACGGCAGGATCCACTAAAAATGGTCGTGACTCGTTGCCGAAGAATCTCGGGGTTAAGAAATTTGGTGGTGAGGTATGAAACATCACCATCACCATCGACACATAATTTGGTTATTTATCTGTGCAGTCCCTTCCCCAATTTTGCATTGCTGGTTATCTACATATATATTTTTTCGATTTTGTGTTGAAACTTGAAAGTGAACAAGCAATTTTTTTTTTTTTTTTTAACATGTGTTCAATGGTTCTTACCATCTATATATGTGTGCGTGTGTTTCGATTTTTTGTTTAAATTGAACAAGCAATTCATTCCTTGTTTTAAGTTTATATATTTTCTGTATATCATGTGGTTTCTTTCAATGGTTCTCTACATTTTACATATTTGTTGGATTTTGTTTTTAAAGTGATCAAGCAATTTGTTTATTAGTTTAAGGTTATATATGTTCTCCATATCATGTTTGTTTCCTGGTGTTCAATGGTTCTATACACTTATATATATATATATATATATGCTCGGTTTTGTGTTTAAAGTGAACAAGCAATTGGTTTATCATTTTAAGGTTATATATGTTCTCCATATCATGTTTGTTTTCTGGTGTTCAATGGTTCTATACATCTATATATATATGCTCGAGATTGTGTTTAAAGTGAACATGCAATTCATTTCTCATTTTAAGGTTATATATGTTCTGCATATCATGTTTGTTTTCTGGTGTTCAGTGGTTCTGTACATATATGTTTGGTTTTGTGTTTAAAGTGAACTAGCAGTTCATTTCGTTTCTCATTTTAAGTTTATATATGTTCTGCATATCATGTTTTTTTTTTTTTTTTTTTTTTTTTTTTTTTTTTTTTCTTTGTGTTCACTGTTTCTCTATACCTATATATTTGTGTTCGGTTTTGTGTTTAAAGTGAACAACCAATTCATTTCGTTTCTCATCTTTACTTTATATATGTACTTCATATGGTGTTTGTTTTTCTGGCATTCAATGGTTTGTATCACCGAGCGATAAATTTATACCAATAACTTCAATTGTTAATGTTTGTAATTTCTTGAGCACTAAAGTTATTTAATCTTATTCCTTCGGTTATTTGGGTTGTTACCTTCATTTTCACTTACATTAATACAATTTCTGACATGGGCGCAGCGAGTGATTCCAGGGAACATCATTGTTCGTCAAAGGGGCACTCGTTTCCATCCTGGAGACTACGTTGGAATCGGGAAAGATCACACTCTATATGCCTTGAAGGAAGGGCAAGTCAAGTTTGAGCGCAGCAAGTTGACTGGGCGCAAATGGGTTCACATTGAGCCTAAAGAAGGCTACGACATTCATCCTGTCTACGCAAAAGCAGGAGACGCTTCTGAGATGGAGACAGCAGCTTAAGGTACTCGATTTATCAATGCTTTATTTAATCCTTTCCTTATCTTGCTAAACAACGTATCTTTTAATCCGCATATTATGTTCTAGGATATATTCCCAAATCGTTTGATTGGTAACTTAATAAGGTGTCTATGTTTTCACTTCATCTTTGGATCGTTTTAGGGCTTTACGGTAGCATAGACAGTCGACTTTCGAAGAACTTCTTCGCAAGAAGTTTATTGCATTACTTGTTTTGCAAAATTTATGTTTACTAATTTTGATTTATGAGACAAAAAAGAAAGTTGGTGTGCTGCTATTTGATGCGATGTCTTCCCCATTGTTTTTTTTTTTTTTTTATGACGTGGGAACCCGAAGTGCGCACGTGTGGCAGATGACCTGAAGCGTTAGGGGTTTGAACCATGACCTCACAGTCAGAAGTCCAACCCCTACACCATGAGGCCATCCCTTACGGGACTAATTCTTCTCCATTGTTGATCTTTGTAGTAATTGTTATAGCTTCAATATTCTTTCTACGTTATCTCTGCATTTAACTATGGCCACATTTTGCGAGCCATGGTTCGAATTTATCCGAATGGCTCAATTAAGCGTAACAACATGCGGTTTGGCATAGTCCAAAATGTTAGAGCTTTTACACATGTCGGGTTATAGTGTTGTGCGAGCCGAGCTACTCGGAAAGCCGCTCATATAGGCTTAAGCTTTTTCCTTGATCTTGAAAAGTTACTTTGGAGTCATTTTGGCTTGACAAGGTAATAAAATAAAATCTACATGTCTATGTACTAAAATAAAGATAAAATCTCCTATCAAAGAAATAAATAAAATCTCTCAACGTATAGTAAACTATTATTATTATTGTTATTATAAAATATTACATTTAAACGACCATTCAGAATAATTTTAATATATTTGTTAAAAAATATTTTATTAAAATTGTGCTTAAAAAATTGTGTCGAGAATGATAAAAAAACTCAAGATAAACACATCCTCAAAATGAGGATATAATAGAAAATTTGAATTGATTCCAAAGACAAAAAAATCAGTGTATAATAAGACATATACGTGCATTTATCTCTGAGTTATTAGTATTGTGATTTTAGAATATGGATTTTATTTATTTATTTATTATTATTATTATTATTTAATCTGAGTTGGATTGGATAGTTATTTTGATTTGGTTGAAAATTTTGATTTGAATTTAATATTATAATAGTGTATGATGAATTATTTATATTAAGAAGAAAAATACTCCAACCGTCTCAAACAAACAATGTGCTACATTTAAGTTGGGCACGAAATTTTAAGTGTTATATACAGTGGGAGAAAGTACTATACACAAAATACTATACTTAAACCTCTTTAGCTGTCATTTCTAATCTAGAAGGTTTTGAATCCTTTTTATATATAGACAATTTTTCATGTTTTGCTCTGGAATAAAATGTATAAAATCATCTTTAAAAAAAAGATAAAATTGTCACATATTTTTATTTTTTTTTTATCAAAATTATATCATCAAATTGTTCCAAAATAATTAAATCAAAAGAAAAGGAACAAAGATACTATAATTTAGTTAAAATAATAATATTGATTATATACATATATTTTTTTTGGTTAAAATGTATTATAAATGAAGTAGTATTTTTTAAAACTATAAAATTAAACCAGCATATACTATATGAATTATTACCTACCTTGTACTATCCACTTATACCATACACATTTGTGCTATTTGTTAACATGAGATCAATCCTAATATTTATCATGTAGACTATTACCATGCACGTTTTATTGAGATCAATCTCAATCGTGACTATATAGTATGTAATTAAATATCTATTCACAAGATTTTTATTTCGATCAAAGTTGGTATGACTTACCGGGATTCGAAGCTTCTCCGTCTCTCCACAGCTTCCTCCACCCTCTCATTAAATTCGTCGTCCGTGCTCGCTAACATATACCGCAACTTAAAGTTAACCCGGTTCTCGACCATAATCTTATGCCTCGGCATTATTCGCTCCTCTAGCGAATAGCTAAAAAACCTGTCGAGGATCAACACCGTAACCAATATACATCTACCAATATTAAAGGCTAGTAATTTAAAACTGAGGCGAATCCATATATATATATATATATATATAGATATATCGATAGATAGGTACCTTGGGAATTCGATAACTTCCTGTAATGGCCGTATCATCGTTCTCCTTAAGTATCGATACTTTGGTCGCAACACGTCTGCGTTGTATCTAAGCAGCATCGGGAAGTCGGAAACCATCTCTCCCAGCTGTCGAACAGTTATTCCGAGCGAGAGAAAGTATTTCACGTTGTGATCTAGTTTATTGGCTATGCTGCATCCCAAGAGTTCGGGTGCTAAGGCAATCACCTTCCCAACGTCTTTCTGGGAAATCCCGGCCTTCGTCAAAAGAAAAATCACCTGTACGAAGATGAAGATGGAGATGAAGATTCGAGCCAGGTTCCATTGATGAATGGTACTTTGTTTATATCGCGCCAAAAAAGGTTAAAAAAAAAAAAAGTTACGAGGGGTGTACCACGGGCCGTATTTTCTTGTAGAGGCTATATGTCAACATTGAAGGAAACCGGGAAAGCATGTTGCCAATTGCGCCTTCCTCGACACCAATGTCCCGTAGGAATTGAACCTTAATAGAAGTAAAATGAAGAAACTTGTTAGCGCAAATGTCTGGCAATAAAACAATATTCACTTTAAGTTTCGGAAGTTAGGTTTGTTTACTTTTACAACTTGGTTTTGTATTCGGGTTTTGGATTTTAGTTTAAATAGTAGTTCAAATATGATATTTTATGAGAAAAAAGAATATCTTAATAGAAAATCGCAATAATTGCATAGTAGCTAAATTTATTTTTTTGTAAAACATTGTGATTGATTCTATAAAAATATATTCTCTTATAAAATATCATATTCAACCGGTGTTTAAATACAAACACAAAAGCGCAACTAGAAAATTCACATTGGCAAAAACTCTTTCACAACTTCAAAAATAGACTATTCAACCCCTAAGGCTACCAATATATTATCTCGTAAAATGTCATATTAAAATACTCCCTCCGTCCCAAATACCGTGCAATATTTCCTTTTTGGTATGTCCCAAACACTCTGCAATTTTTTTAAATTAAGAAATAATTAATTATATTTAATCTATATCCCCACACTTTATCCCATTACATCACCCTAATAAAATAAAATAAAATATATACTTCTCTCTCCATCACATCAACTAATTACTCAATTATCCTACTTAATACTTCTCACCTAAAATCACGTGCCCAACTTAACTGTAGCATCTTGTTTGGGACGGAGGGAGTACTATTTAAACTAAAACTCAAATAAAAGATTTAAACTCAAGCCAAAACCAACAAAAAATGATCTAATACCATGTGATTTTTTTAGCGACAGAAAAAAATCTTCATGGATATATATCGACACAATTTACCCGCAAATTGTAATTGTCCTCATCAATAGGACTAAAATTATATAAGAGTTCTACTCGGATTAAAATTGAAATGAATCTTTCTGGTCAGACGAAACACGTAATTCATCCCAAAAATAGAGCAATAATAACTAAACAACTTAATTGCAGGAAAGAAGAGACTGTCGGGGGCATAGAAATGATTATTTGAAAAAGTTCTTGCAAAAACTTTCACATTAATTAAATGAAACTTAGACGAGGAATAATAGGATACCTTTGGCACAACGATGCTGTCAAGATCAACACAGAAAACCATAGGCTTCAAGGTGAGGATTCTTCTCATCCCATCCTTGGAAATCCCAAGATAATAAAAATACCTTACGAGAGGCTTCCATCTATCCTCGATGCTACAAGACATCAACTGTGGCTTAAATGCTAACAATCTCCCGATATCCTCATCATCAAGGCCAAACTCTTTCAAATATGCTACCTGAACAACGACGAACTTATGAATTTGTAACTATGGGAGTATTTGCAAAGGGCTAAAGTGATCACTTGCTTTGCTGTTATCTAAAAAATTTTTAAAAAAAATTGCAGTCTAAAGGCTGATGAAAATTCCGGTTTCTACTTCTAACAACTTACAAAGAAAAAGCTTTTCATCATAAGCAAGAAGCTTGCATATATGACATCTAGTTGTTTTTTTGAAGTAAAATTGAATTATTTCGATAATTTAATCTCAAAACATTGATATTTATAATCATATCTTTCTAATAGTCTTGATCGATTACCTTCAAATAATTAAGATTAAAAATGTCCTTCAAACATAAAAGTAGAGTTTCGAAATCACCTTCTCTCTTTTTCTACATATCCATATTTAACTTCTATCTTCTCTATTACGACCTTATTTGCAAACATCCTAACGAAACACAAATATTTCCAACTTCAAGCTTTCAACTACAAACAAATAAGAGCAACAGGTACAAGTATTTCAAAAAATGAACCCTACCTGAAAGATAGCTAACTCGGCATTTCAAATAAGCAATCATCAAACTCGAAATGTTCCCAAAGTTAAAATGCATACAAACGACAAAAAGAAGCATTACAGATTAGATTTCGTAGACCTGTTTTAACTACCAAAACCTGAGAGTATGTATAGTGTTCATATATTCTTTAAAGGCGTATACGGTTATGTACCTTTTCATTCATCTCTTCCATGGAGAGGTAGCCGAGCACTTTAGGAGAGTCGAACAGCATTGTCCCAAAGTCGTTCTTACTCATTCCCATACGGAAGTAGAACTGAGCACGAGCTCTCAATTCCTCCATGCTAAATGCCAATATTTCGGGACACCTACTAACTACATAACCCATCCAATCCCTCCTCACGCCGTTCTCCTCCAAATACTCAACAATCTCATCAAAATCCTCTAAATGCTGACCCAATAAATTCCTGCCAGCACGTGTCAACGCCACGCCTATAAACCTCCCTTTCACGTGTATCGACTTCAACCACTCCACAACCCTTCTTATGGACCCGAGATCCCCGTTCGACGCACAAATAAGCTTCCCTATTTGCCGATAGGATAATGAGTTGTGTTTCAACCACCTATTCGTGTGATGTTAAACACTTTAGCACATCAAAAGTTTGAAGTGAGCAATAAACTATTCTTATAAATCAATCATCGATCCATTTTTGGTACATTTTGCATAATCTTAAAATTGCATATGATTAATAATAAAAGCAGACCAATAAATAGGCATGATTAACAGATATAACCAAATAAATTATAAAAAAAATCTCTCAACCGTAGTTAAGAGTGGTAAACAAGACTCTGAACTAGCCAAAATCGTCCACTGATCACTCTCAACTAAGATAAAATCAGAACTATATCTGACTATCAACGAAGTTAGAATCGGAAACAAGATTATCGGCGCATTTAGAATAAGCTGAACTTTGAATTGAAGGGAATCAGAAAGAATGGTCGAAGGTCTAATATATATGACTTTACTAAAACTAAAAAAACGAATTTAACAGCATATGTAGGCATAGTTGAGGACCTCAAAATCGAGAGAACTCAGGATACTTTCTTAGTTGGATGTACCCTTGGCTTTGATACTATATTACATTTGGCATTTTGCCTATGAATGATAACGACAAAAGTGGAATCCAAATTTCTTATGATTAACATTCCCAAACTACACAATCAATTGTATATCATTGACGTTTCAATAGAACTTGCAGAGGAACTTAATTAGTTAGGGTTAGGATTGTTACCTGATAAGAGGCACAACTTGGGATTCATCGATGAAGGCTCGTGCGCGATGATTGTACGAAGACTGCGAGAATTCAGGGAATTTCTTCATCGAAACAGCCTTGATTATCACATAGTCAAGAAATTCGGATAATTCGGAAGCCATATTGTCCGTGTAAGTGATCCCAAACTTAACTTTCCTCATCGCCTCCTTGAAAATATCTGCAGTCACTTTCCTCCTTATCTCCAGCGCCTTTATCAGCATTTCCTCATCGATTTCCCCGGAATTAGTGTCGTTTCCTCGGAGGACGCTCGCCGGAGAAGAAGAATTTATGTAAACGGAGCCTGGAAACTGCGGCGTTCGTCTAATCTGCAATGAGACTTCGAGCACTCTTTCCTTGTCCTCTTCCGCTAACGCTAGATTCGTCCCCAGATTTTCTTCGTCTGGATTCCGGTCTTCGTGAGAGGATAGGTGGCGGAGGAGCACGGCCGCCGATCTGGCGTTGTGGGTTCGGAGAATAGCGGTTTCGCTGGTTGATGCCGCGCCATTTTGCTTGTCGGAGAGGGAGGACGATATTAAAGAGAAGCGGCGGGGCTTGGTGAAGAAGATTGGAGGACGTCGGCGGTGGCTGTGGAGGTCGCCGGCGGCCGTGGAGGTGAGGCGGTGGTGAGAAGCCAGCATAATAGTGACGGAAAGTGGATAGGGCGGGATGAGGTTTCAGTTCAGTTCAGTTCCGTTCCACACCCGAGGCTAAAATAGTAAATTTAAGTATTTATATAATATATATTAAAATATGAAATCAAATAACAAAATGGTCCCATGGTCTAGTGGTCAGGACATTGGACTCTGAATCCAGTAACCCGAGTTCAAATCTCGGTGGGACCTGAATTTTAATTTTTTTTTTATTTTTTAATTTCTATTTTAGTTTAGAGTCGTACCTGATTGGGCCAAGCACGATTTTTTTTTGTACCCAATTCGGTTCAAATTTTCGGACGGTCTATTTTTACATTTTGTCCGATTCATACTTGTTGGGCTAGCCGGCTAAGCACGATTCAATATTTTTTTAATTTATTTTTTTTTAGGATTAACTTTTTCGTGTCTATTTTTATCAAATTTTAAGTAAGATAAAAAAACAAATTATTCATATTTGACTTAAAACGAATAATATGATATTAGTGTTGTAATGTTTAGTTGGACGGTCATCCCCACAAATACGATCAGACAAGCTTAATTGTTTCTGTTTTTGTTTGAACTTTTTTTTTTTTTTTTTTCATATATATTAAAAAATTACTATCTTCAAAACAAATTAAAATACCAAAATACTTGTAAATCCCTAGCCAAACCAACCCCAAATTATGAAAAGAAAGCCTCCCAACATATGCTTTGAAATTATAGCACAACAAAAAAATAAAATAAATTTACAGTTCAACTTCGCCAACGGCCAAAAAGTCCCAAAAAGACTAAAGCAAAGAATCATAGCTTCTTTCGAATCGAAGACACCCTAAAATTCACCAAACAAAAACAACAACAACCAACGACTAAATCCAACACAATCTGAATCAATCTCTCCTGTCCGAATTCAGCCAACAACAAAAAAAAAAGCCTTCATTTCCACAACAATGGCAGCTCTCCCTCTCCCCAAACCCCACCCGACCCGAAAACCCGAACCCCTTTATCCGAAAAGAATCGAGAATGTACATAGAAATACTACCTCCCGAGCATCGCCGGAGTCGAGCAGACCGCATTATTCGAAAAAAAGATCGACCAGAATCACGTCGACGTCAACCCCGATCGTTTTCCCGATCCTCCTCGACGGGCTCGGGAAATATCTCCTTCGAATTCCGCCTACTCGACGGCGAAACCCCGTTCCCGTCTCCGATATGCCCGCTTCCCTGCGACCCTGTCGTTGTCACCGACTGCTTAAAACTGCCGGCGGGTTCGACTCCTCGTCGGGACAGGACGGCGGGAGCTGCCGCCACGTCGGAGGAGCTGTGCCGCCAGCTGCCGAAGACGGCGGCGGCGTTCCACGAGCTTCGGGACGAGGCTGTCCGGAGCCGGGTGGAGCTGCCGCCGTGCTCTTCCCGGACTACCTTTAGAGGATTTTCGAGGGCCTTGAGGATGTACCGCATGAGGGGGCGGCGGGCGGGGCGGGGGTTGAGGCACGACCGCGCGACGATCGACATCGCCCAAACCTCCTCGAGAAGATCCTCGTCGATGATTAACGACGGGTCGATGATGTTGGTGACGAGCTCCTTGTCGTAGATGCTGATGTATGGGAGAGTTTTGTCGAGCCACTCCTTGACGGCGGGGTCCGCCGACGAACTCGAATTCGAACTTATTCCAAGCTTTCCAGTTACGAGCTCGAGTAGGACCTTCCCAAAGCAGTAGACGTCGTACGCGCACGATGCGTTAGCGTTGCCTGCGTGATCGAGATAGCAAGACGACAATCAGAGAACGAAAATGGATCGACGAAATTTAATCATACGGCGACAATAATAGTCTTACGATCGACTACGACTATCTTAATACGATTCCGAAGATTAATCGAACGGACCAAATTCGAAAAAGAAAATTTATTTTCGAGCCACAACAACGGTGTCACGTATCGAACAATTATTTCACTACAACATTGAATCGATACGATTTCAAAAACCAAATCATTTGATATACATAGCAATGCATCAAGAATTAAGAACGCAACAATCGTAGCGACGCAAAAGTGAAAACAGCATAGACATATCGTAAATTTAAACCAAAAACACAATTAGACGTACGTACCCGAAATACCTTGCTCGGACGACCTGCAAATACCGAAAACAACAAAAAGTCAAGACCCGACAAAGATTGGCATATGTTGCAAACATAAATCGCTTTTTCTTTTGAAACGATGAGTTAATAAATGTACTCAATATTTGGCAAGAAAATATAAGATACATATAAGCATAACGGGAAGTGCGACTCACTGTGGCAACCGTAGCAATCTAGTGATTCTATTCTGATGTGAATCGCCTTCTTGAGCGCAAACTCCGCCCAAACTTCCTAATCGAACTTCATATCGATCATCAAGTAGTATACTGCTGGCTTGAACATCCCTGCGAAAAATACGGCGTACGTAAGTGCGGGCAACGTCACATAATCGAAGAACATGTAGTTGCAAATTTAAAGGTACCGATGGACGAGCGGTGGCGAGCATTCATGGTGGAGATAGGAGAGGCCCTCGGCAGCTCCGATAGCGATTTTGAGTCGTGTGATCCAATCCAAAGACTTCAAACCGTCACCGGATGTCATTTTCTTGAACAATGCGCTGGATAGGTCGCCGTTCGGCATGCGTTTGTAGACGAGAAACTTCTCATTCTCATTCAGCAAGCAGTGCCCTAAGAAAGGGACCAATCTAGGGTGCGTAATCTTGCTGAAAAGATCCAATTCTGACATGTACGACGACTCCTTCTTGACCGACGACGAATTCAATTCGATCCTTTTGACGACCACCATAAGTCCTCCTTCAAGAACCCCGTCGAAGAAATCCCCCGTTCGACCTCTCTTGATCAGATTCTCGTTGTTGAATTCTCCCGTCATTTGAAGAATCTGTTGGTACGTAAACGCATCGCCGACAGTCGAAAGGTTCGACGGCAAACCGGGGGGCGAAGGACTCCCACCGGGGGGAACGGGCCCGACGCTTATCCCCCTCTGGTTCGACGCACCACTCCGGCGCTTCCACGCAACGACGACAATCAAAATCAGAACAAACACGAGCAAAAGAAGCCCGACGCCTCCGAAAACCGATGCATAGATGATCGTCGAGCTGTTGCTCTTCTTCTTCGATCCAGGCGGCGGAGGCTGCGCCGGGTTCGGGTTTCCGAAATTATCGAAAACCAAATTCCTGTCGGCATAAAATGAGGCGCATTCCGCAACGCCCCTCTGACTCGGCGTGTTTCGGAGGCAATTCTTCACGAGAGACGCATTGCCGCCGCCACGTGCGAAAATTGGAACCGAGCCTTCAAAATAGTTTCCCGAAATGTCAACGAATCCGAACCGCGCGATCGCTGGCGTAACATTCCCGTAGAACAAATTCCAAGAAATGTTCGCCAATGCCGTCGCGGCGACAGCATTCGACCCGACATTTGGCAGCATGCCAGTAAACATATTCCCCGACACGTCGAGCAATTCCAAAGTAGGAATCGACCACACCACGTGCGGCAAATCCCCGCTAAAACGATTGCGCCGCAAAACCAGAGACTGCAAACGGGTCAACCGAGGAAACAAATCGTCTGGCAGCTCCCCGGCGATCAAATTATCACCGAGAATCATACGCTGCAAGCTCGTCAGATTGCGGAATTCAATCGGCAATGCCCCCGACAGCGAATTGAATCCGAGATCGAGGTCAACAAGCCTCGAAAGATTGCCGAGCTGCGGAGGGATCGACGACGACAAGGCATTGCCGGAAAGATTCAACGTCTGCAGCATAGACAGCCTCCCAAATCCAGAAGGAATCGAGCCTGTCAACGAGTTGCCGGAAAGATCAAGAACAGAGATTCTAAGAAGCTGAGATAAACTCGCCGGAATTACGCCGGTAAGATTGTTATCTGACAGGTATAATTCAGTTAACGAAGATAAGTTCCCAAGAGTAATCGGAATATCGCCGGAAATCCAAGAAGACCTTACGTCGAACACCTTGAGGGCATTAAGCTGCAGGCCTAACCAGGCGGGAATCCGGCCGGGGAGGGCGAAATTCGATGCGTTGAAAGACGATAGCCGAGTGAGGTTGCGGAGAGCGTCGACGGAAAATTGGGGATTCAAATTCCCCTGCCGCGTACGGCGGAATCCGGCGACGTTGATCGCCGTAACGCTTCCGTTAAAGCATTGGATGCCGCGCCAGGATGCGCAGGGGTCGGATTTCACCGGCCAATCGCGAGCCCTAATTCCTAACGAAGATCTCAATTGAATCAACGACAGCCTTTCCTGCCAAGACGTCTGAAATATCTGCTGCTGCTGCTGAACGGCGAAATCGAAGAAGAAGAAGAAGAACAGTACAATAATGGAGGCTGCCCTACGCCACTGATCCGCCATTTCTGCTGCAACTTCATTGAACTGAATTCAGTCAGGCATTCGATTTCTTGAGTAAAATCAAGACTCTGTTCGAAATCGAGGAGAAGAAATTCAATTTATACGTAGAAACAAACAAACAAACAAAAATCGAAATTCTGCTCCTCTTCCTCCTCCTCCTCCTCTGACGGGAGGAGTGAGAAACTCAAAAGAAAGTCAAAATTCGAGCTATGGATGGAGAAAGAGACAGTGGGGTTGGGTTGAGGAAGAGGTGAAAGAAAAGTAAGAATTGCGATCGGAGAAAAGTCAGTGGCGGTAGAAATCGACAGACAATGGTGGAGAGAGAAAGGGAGACGACGCCGCTGTCTGTCTGAATCCTTTTGTCTCTCTCTCTCTCTATCTTTCTTTCTCTCTCTCTCTCTAAAATGAAGAACGTGCGGGGATTTGAAGGTCAAAGTTTCGGCTGCACAAAACGACGTCGGATCGCCGGAATAACTCTGGTGCGCTTTAGCGTGTTGTACTTTGACGCTATCCTGCAACATGATTTTGTACCTAAATTTTTGTATATGTTTATAAAAATATATAACTCTCAGCTGTAATTTAATTGATTTCTTAAGTTGATGACGATCAAATAGTTTAATGATTTTACTATATTTAAAATAAAAAAGAAAGTATTGACTAATAATTTTTAAGATAAATATGTTAAATTGTAAAAATAAATAAATAATGGAATACCTATAAATAAGACTTGGTGCAGATAGAGATTTTAGAGTTTTCAAATTTGTAAGAACTTTTAAAAGTAATCAAAACTAAATATTTAATATAATATTTTCTCGACAAAGCGTATATAGTTTTATTTTGAATTATTATAAAATAATTATTTAAAAAATATTATTATTTTAATAAGAAAAAGTAAAGACAAAATCTCTATATTATTTTTAATTATCCATTATAATTAAAATATGATTATTTTTAATTTTACGTTAAAAATAAATATTATTTATTTTTTAAATTGGACATCTTTTTTGAGAAAAAAATATATTGATATATAGTAACAAAATTAAATAAAAAAATATGTAACTAAACAGAGGTAAAAATTATTGAATTATATAGAACACTTCCATAGTTAACAATATAAAATATGTTAGGTCAAATCATTCTAAAGTTGTAAGATTTATTTACAAAATTAGCTTATCTGGTTTTTGAAAAAAAAAACTTTTTTCTATATAGAAATTGCTTTAAAATTAAGAGTATATGTTTTGTCGCCTTCTCCTTCAAAGTTTTATATATTTTATTAAAATATAATTGTAAAATATTTAATTATATATTTTTAATTTTAATTTAATAAATTAAATATTAATTAAATAAATTATGGACAATTCAATTTCACATATTTTTAATAAAGATAAAGTGCGATTCTCTCTGTCTGACATATTTGGCTAGATATATTATATTTTAGGTAGTATAGATTAATAAGTTATTAATAATAAATTATAGTATTATTTTATTATTTTTTATATGAGTAATATTATTAGTATTATAAATATTTTAGTAAAATATATATAATATGAATAATAAAATTTTATATAATGAAAATAAATTAGATAAATATTTATTTATTTATAACAAATTTAAAACTAATTTATTAAAAAAAATTAAATATAGATAAAAGAAAATATTTATTTATTAAATCTGAAAAAAGATAAAAATAAATAAATTTTGAGTAGATCATAAAATTAAAAATTTAATTAAATAATTTATATTTTTTAAATATGTTTAAAATAACTAAATTTACTAAAAAATAGAAAACCAAAAAAAAATCATATACTCCCTCCGTCCCGCAATAAGGGTGGCGTTTGCTTTTTGCACGTAAATTTTTTAATATTAGTATTATATTGAATTGTAATAAAAAAAACAAAAATATTCCTATTAGTATGGTGTAATATAAAAGTAATGGCATTCGTGTAATATATTGTAAATTGAAAAGGTATTTATTATGTGAAGTAGGTAGTATAATTATTAAATTAGGAAATAGTAACCTTATTTTGAGACAGACAAAAAAAAATGATGACATTTCAATGGGACAAAGAGAGTTTGTAAAAAAGAGGAGTATTTACAGCATATATTTAAAGAAAATAATAAAATATATATATATATTTAAATAAAAATCGCATTTAAAATGAAAACCAAACAATCCTATATTTAGTTAAAGCATTTAATATTTTCTCCCAACTAAAAATTGCATTAAAAATCAGTTGCTGAGGTGTAAAAATCATCAATTGTACCTACAGCATTTATAATCGCTGACAGTATTTTTAACAACTGTTGCTGTTAAAAAGTAAAATACTAAAATAGGTATAATTGTGTAAGATTTTATTACAGGTGTGACTTCACATTTAATTCTACACTTTAATAATTTGGTTGAGCTTTCTTCTTTAAAAATAAAATAAATAAATAAAATTGTGGATCCCACTAATTACTGTTTTCGTCGTCCAATTATGTGCTAATTTGATCGGACACGAGTTTTTAAAAAATATATATATAATAATAGAAATTTTTATTTTTTTTTAATAAAGAAAAATGATATTTTTTTTTACTTTAGAAAAAGGGAAATAAATTTGGATGACAACAAAAAAAAAAGAAAAGTGAAAATAAATTTGAATGGCGGGAGGAATTATTATATAAACATTTTCTTTTTATTGATACAATCTCTATTATATATATATATATTATACCCTCTGTCCCAATACAATAATTCTGATTATTATTTTTATCCGTTCCAAAACAATAGTCTCATTTTCATAAATAATCATATCACTATAAAACTACCTTTATTTTTTCATTATTATTACACAATTACCACTATTTTTTACACTAATATACTCACAAGGGCAAAAAAAGTCTTTTACTCGTACTTTTCACCCACTACCAATATAATATCAATATTCCTTAAATTTCGTGTGAAACACAGCCCAAACTATAATTTTGGAACGAAAGAAGTATTTTTTTGCCAAAAGAAAAACGTCAATATTCAATACAAAATATTGTTCTATTCATCCATAAAATTATGTAAATATGTGTGGACACAAATTCTAAAAAAAAATAATAATAATAGTATGTTATAAAAAAGAAAAAAATGAGTAGGTAAAAAAGTAAGCGAAGAGTATTTTGCTGAGTTCATTAATGGAGTGATATAAGTAGTATTTTGAGTACATATTTTTTATTTATTATTATTATAAATAGAAAGTGCATAAGTTTAATAGACAAACACCAAATGAAACATACTTAAATTAGTGGATGAAAGAAGTATTTTTTATATTATCAAAATAATTTCTTGTACTTCCTATTAAAAAAATATGTCGAACTAAAATACTAAACCAACAATATTATTGTCCTTAATTGATTAATATTTATTATTTTTTTTTTTGGAACGCAATTTATAAATAAATAAATAAATAACGCTATTAATAATAATACTAAATAATAATAAATAAAAAAGAGCCATTTTATGAAAGTAAATTACAAATGGTATTGATTTAATTGAATGATTCCACAAATAAATATATATATATATATAAGCATAAACTACTAATAACAATACAGCTAACAGCTTTATTAAATAATTTGAATTATTCAACAAAATGAAGCCAACTTATAATATTATATTTAGTGTAGCATATATTATAATAAATTAAATTATACTCACATCATTTTCACTTTCTAACTACCAACAGGATAACTGACCATTAATAAACTGCAATTAATTTATACAGTTATGATAACTATCATTATAATAGCTTAGGATTCTTTTTAGTATTTTTATTTGTTTTTTAATCAAAAAAAATACCTATTTTACATTACTTCTAAAAAAATAAATGTATGATATAATTAAATTAAAAAAAAAACATATGTTTAATGTAGTTTATTTGTTTTGTGAATTAGTTTTTTTAAAAAATTAATATATTACACACAATTCATTATTTTTATATTACCATACAATTTTTTATATTTAATATAAAAAAAAAAAAAACATTCTTTCAAACCATTTCAAAAAAAGAAAATACTGCTATATGTTAATATAAAGAAAAACATGGCTCGTGTTTGTTTGGGGGTTTGAATTTTGATTTGAGATTTGAATAGTAAAAATTTTGAATTTGAATAGTTGTATGATGTGATATAAATAGGTGTTGTGTGATGTTTTGAATGTAAAATTGATTTTTAGTATTATATAAAAAATAAAAAATAGATGTTTGATTTGATATTTTTTGAGAAAAAAATAGAATGAATAGTGGATTTAAAATCCAATCCCCCAAACAAACAGGGACAAACCATATAGGTTATATTTAGTTTGGGTTTTAATTATCTTGAGTCAAAAAAAATTATTCATATTTTTCAAAAACAATATGCCTCTCAATTGGTAAATTTATACAAGTTTGTTTAGATACAAAGATTAAAATATAGAGTCCGTAGTATTTTAGTGTTAATGTGAAATATATAAAAAGTAAATTAGTGGTATTATAATGAATTTATAAAAGAATCGGTAAAAAGGTGATGAAGTAAGTAAAAAAAAATAATGATAAATTAATTATTATTTATTAAAATAGGGGTGATAAAATTGTTGACAAATAAAATTACTTGTTATAAAATAAATATATAAATTTAATTGATAAAAAAAAAAAAAAAGAACAATGACATAATTTGAGCCGAACAAAAGATGTAAATGGGTGTGTTTATTTGTGGGAATTTGATTTTGGATTTTGGTTTTAAGTAGTAAAATTTTGAATTAAAATAATTTTTTGATGTGATATAAATATGTATTGATGTCCTATTTCGAATGTAAAATTAAATTTTTAGTATAATATAATAAATAAAAAAAATAGGTGTTTGATTTAAATTTTTTGAAAAAAATATTGCAATAGTAAAATCGAAACCGAAATCGCTCGAATAAATACACTCATTATTTTATCTTATAAATCATCACAGTAAACTATTATTATATAGATTTAATTTTTCATTATTTAAAATTTTATACTATTATTTTCAAATAAATATTAAATTGATATCTTTATAAGACTACGAATAAAATATAAAATATATATATACCATAAATAATACTTCTTCCGTCTCATATTGGATGTCCGCGTTAAGATGCGAAAATTTAGGATAAGTATAATTAGTAGATAATTAAAAATATATTAGTTAAAATAATTGTCCTATAATATAAATAATTATAAATTTAATTATAAATTAATATTAAAATAACTAATTAATTTAATTAAAATTTAAAATGAAATTAAGGTGTATACATGAGATATGAGATAGACATAAACGGCAACATTAACATGGTAGGTCAGCCGAAGAGAGTAATAAAATAATAGTGAACAAAATACATTTGTTTGGTTGTTGTACATTAAAAAAATAAGTGA